GATAGACACGGGGTCAAGATTCACAATACTACCAATAAGTGTTGCAAGAAAAATTGGTATTAAAACATTAAAGAAATCGGAAACAAAACTTACGGGCTACGATGGGAGAATTATAAAGGTGTTGGGTACCGTTGACATCAAGGCAAAATATGGAAAAACAAGACAGAGACCTTGAACATACACGTAGTGCAGAGCAATAAAATACCGCTGTTAGGTAGGACATGGTTAAAAGCGTTTGGCAACATATTAGTTCAATTTGTAAACCATGTCGAAGAAAATTATGATGATGCAATACAAAAGATGATAAACGAATGTAAAACCAAAGTTGACAAAAAGCCTATAAATCGCAGTTATGTTAAACTTTATCTTAAACAGGACGCTATACCAAAAATAATACCGCCAAGACGAGTGCCATATAAACGACATGATTTGTTAACAAAGGAGTTGCAGAAGTGGATCGATGACAAGATAATCGAGCAAGTGGACGACGTACGCTGGGCGAGTCCGCTCACACCTGTTTATAAGAGCGATGGTACATTGAGGCTTTGCGTAGACTTCAAGAGCACTGCACTGGTAGACTTCAAATACCCAATTCCAAGAATCAATGACCTTATATCAAAGCTGTCAAAAGGCAAGAAGTTTACAAAAATAGATTTTAAGAATGCTTTCCTTCAAATACCAATTCACAAATAATCAAGAAATCTTCTCACCATATCCACGCATAGAGGCTACTTCAGATTCACCAGACTTCCTTTCGGTTTAAAGACATCATCAGCTATTTTTCAACAGACTATGAACAAGATTTTCGGTGATTTAAAAGACGCTATTTTCTACATTGATGACTTATTAATTACTGGTGATGATGACGAAAAACACATGAAAAACATAAAATTGGGTTTTGACAGAATCTCAAAATATGGACTAATACCTAATTTTACGAAGAGTATATTTTTCAAGAAAGAAATACGATTTCTTGAACACGACATCGATGATAAGGGGATTCATCCGAATGGAGAAAAGATAAAGGCCATTACGGACATGCCAGTACCAACAACTAAAGAAGAACTGGCAAAGTTTTTGGGCATGGCTAGTTATTACCGAAAATTTTTATGTAATTTTGCGGATTTAGCGGATCCATTATACAAGATAGCAAATAAAGGAAAATTTTTGTGGAATGACGTACATCAAAGATGTTATGATGATTTGAAGAATCTAATTAGTACACCACCATCGTTAAATTATTACAATCCAGATTTGCCGATAGGTATCGCGACGGATGCTTCGGAAAAAGGTTTAGGTGCTGTATTATTTCATATAGAAGGAAATGGCAAGGAGATGCCTATAGCATACGCATCGAGAACTTTATTGAAAGTAGAAATTAATTATACAAATATCGAGAGAGAGGCTTTAGCAATAGTATATGCAGTGAAGAAGTTTCAGGAGTACCTCATAGGCTCCAAATTCGTCATTATAACCGACCACAAGCCACTCGTTTGCATATTTACAAAAGGATTAAAAGATAACACGTCAATATCGATGAGATTGCAAAAGTGGAATTTGGCTATGGGAGCTTACGATTTCACGATAGTTCACAGAGCTGGTAATCGCAATACAATACCAGACTGTTTATCAAGATTACCACAAAGAAATACTGAAGAGGGTATACAAAATATAGAAAATAATGAGATTACTAGTGATTTATGGGACATACCAATTAACTTTCAAAGAATAGTGAAAGAAACAAACGATGATGATGAATTAATGGAAGTAATAAATAACATCAAACATGGTGAAGATATAAAAAACAATACATACAAGAATATGGAAATGGAGTTGAGTTTGATAAAGAATTGCCTTTTTAAAGAAAACCGAATCATAATACCGAGGAAAATGAGAAATGAGATGTTAAAAGATTTACACAAAGGACATTTAGGCGCAGGCAAGATAAAATTATTGGCGAAAGATTATTTATGGTGGCCTGGTATAAATGCAAATGTAGATCAAGAGGTAAAAGAGTGTGAAGAATGTAACAAATGGGCAGACAATCCACACAATATACAAAATCCATGGAGAATCGCGACTAAAATTTTTGAATGAGTACATATTAACTTTGCACAGTTCGGAGATAATGATTACATGGTATTTGTGGACGCATATAGCAAATTTCCAATAATAAAGAGAATGAAAAATATTACAACAGAATCTACTGTGAAAGAACTGATGAGAATAATAAGTCTATTTGGAATACCATATAACATCGTGACGGATAATGGCACCAATTTCACTAGTCACCTATTTAAAAAATTTTGTGAGGATCATGAAATAAAACATATTTTGACTGCTCCACATCATCAACAATCCAATGGTCAATGCGAACGTATGATTAAATCAATGAAAATGAGCTTGAAGAGAAATGTGGAGAATAACACAAAAGTTAACGCCGAGATAGCTTTAGAAATTTTTTTGTTTAATTATCGAAATACTCCAAATGCGACGACAAATATGATACCAAGCAAATTAGTGTCTTCTAGAAGTATAAGGACAAAATGGGATTTGGTTAAACCTATGGAGGAAAAAGATAACGTATTAAATCGCAAAATAACAGTAACGAGAAATATCAACGTAGGAGATAAAATTTGGTATAAAACGTTCAAGGAAAACATGTGGGATAAAGGAGTAGTGATACATAAAGATAGAAATTTATCATACAAAATAGATACTGGACATAATATAATAAGAAGACATTTGAATCAAATAAAAATAAGATCGACAAGTAATGATTATACGACGAGTGAACGAGTTTTTAGAGGGGGGAAGAGGTCAGGAGCAAGATCAAAAGAAAGAACAAGATCAAGTTCAAGTTCAAAGCCAGATACGAGATCGAAATCAAATAAGTGTTCAAGAGCCAAGTCGACAATACAATTTGAGACCGAAGAAATTCATTCATTATAAATAAACTATATAAAATAAAATATAATTTTTTTAGTTAAATTTGATGTTAGAACGAAAAGGTACATGGACTTGGAATAAATAAAGAACTTAGGGATTACCTCAATATACGATACGAATGATGGGTACAATGAAGGGGGAAACTAAAAGAGAAGGAAATGTTATATTGTGGAAATAATTTAAATAAAATCACTCGAGGTGATAATGAAATATTTTATGTAAAAGTTAAAATCGATTTAAATGTAAAAGTAAAAATCAATTTAAAAAGTTAAAAATGATTTGAAATGGATGTATAACGATAAAATGTAAATAGATTATATTTGAAAGATATAATTGTAGGATATTGATATATTATAATTTTTTTGTATATATTGTTGTTTTTTTTGTTATATGACAGTTTGAAATTTATATGTTATAATAAAAAAAGATAAATTAAATATTTGTGTTTTAAATGTTTCAGCTTTAAATCGTATTAATTAATGTTTAAAAATGTGTCAACTTTAAATTATAAAATCTCATCCTTATCACATATCCGAGAAATCGTAAAATTCTTATAGATACCATACATTATTTTATAGTGTAAGTAATAATATTTTATTATGTAAATTTATTTGCTCTTATTAGAAATACTTTGACTATTTTTATTTGAAAGTGAAATATTTGGAATTATTTTGTACTGCAAGTAATAATATTTTAATTTTAAAGGCTAATTTATTAATATCTTTTATAAAAATTTTATTAAGTGATTATTTTGCAGTGTTAGTTATGTTTTTTGAGCAGTAAATTTAAATTAATCAAAATTGGCAGGTTTTGCAAATATATAATTTTATTATAAGTTATCAAGAATATTCAAATCCATGAAAAGGCAAATGGAAATTTTAGATTGCACAACACGTTGGTCCTCTATATGTATGATGCTAGAGCGATTATTAAGTTTGAAAGATTTCTGTAATTATTTTATTGTAAGAGCATGTGAAGTCTTTTGTCGGAAGATGATTGGAATTAAATAAAAGACCTTACTAGTATGTTGGTTCTTTTAAAAATAACTACAATAAGATTGCAAGCAGAACAGTTATGTTTATCGGATTTTTATGGCATATGGATAAGATTTCGATTAGAGTTAGAAAGATTTACAAGTTCTTTTTCATATGAAGTATTAGAAAATATGAAAATTAGATAGCAACAATATTTACAAAATAGTGTTGTATAGGCTTCAATATATTTAGACCCGCGATATCAAGTTTTATTAATTAGTGAGCAAAAACAAATGGCTATAGACCATCTTTAAGATTTATGGCATACCCAAAACTCTATTATTTAATATATTGGAGGCTACAACAATATCTACTGGTTGTAGCGATAACAATGATAATGATAACGATATTGATGATAATGATATTGATGATCTGGAAATTTTACTATTAGATAGAGAAAAAAAATATTAAATTATCATCTGATAGAAAGGAGCAAAAAATATCTATTGTATCTTTAATAGAAAAGTTCTCGGAAGTTAAGAGAATAAATAGAGATGCAAACATTTTAAAATTCTGGGAGGAAAATTCTTCAATATATCCAGAATTATATACCTTGTCTAGAATCGTCATGGCTGTACCGGCGACACAAGTAAAATAATTTATGTATTATAAAAATGACTATCTATTTTAGGTAAGCGTGGAACGTGGATTTTTATCGTTCAAATATATTTTGTCTAATTTACGTGGAAATCTGAAGGATGATATTTTAGAAGATATCATGATTGTGCGATTGAATAAAATAGTTAAAATATAAATTATCTCATTTCGAATTATAAATGTGTATATAATGAAGTATAATAAAAAATGAATGAAAAAAAGTCTTATTTTGAGTCATTATTTTTATGTTCCCTCTGAACCCGGACCCTTGACCCGGGTCCTTTTTAAATTTATTACCGGGCCCGAACTCGGACCCTTTTTTTTTGTCGAAGGGTTCACATCCCTGTTGAAAATATCAAATATAAGAATTATCTATCTATTTTATTTTTAATTTCAAAATAAGTCATTATAATAGCTCGAGATTTTTATTTGACGACTTTTAATAAAAAATATTTGCAAGAATTTTATGGAAATATAAACCATCGATCGTAATAAGCTTAAAGCTGAATTTATAAACCAAAGTGGCATTTAAATTTATTCGTACATTATTAACTAAGCTATGTAAAATTACAATTTCAAAATAATAAATACCAATTATTAACAATATTTAAATAATTCAAAATTCTTTGTTGACTAAATCACTGTATTCGTGAATTCCTAAGGGTGTTACAACAATGCAACATATCGACCTTCCCTCCTTCAAAAGGCATTTGATGCCGTATACGGGCGAATGGACATCTATAATGTTGTAAGGATAAATGTTCGCATCTTGTATTTTTTCTTCATATTTGTAAATTAGTATTCTCTGAATAAAATATCAAAATAAAGTAAATAAATAAGTCATTACGATAATTGAGAAAATTGGAAGTAAGATCATAAATAAAAAAAATCTAAGAATTAGTTCTAGAAGACCCTTAAATTTATAGTCAAAATCTTTCACATTTTCAAAATTAAATAATAATTTTGATAGGAAAGATTATTAAAATTAATGACTCTAAATCAGGGTTTAACTTTGTTCAAAATTCAAAAATCTTCAAAGATCCTTCCTCTTTTAAAAATGTGAAATTATTTTACGAAAAGATCTTCAATTTTTTTGATCTTCAAAGATTTTTTCCTCAAAATTTTGGGCGAAAAAAAATTTTCAAATGCTCATTTAAAGATTTTTGTTAAACCCTGATCTAAATTTAATTTTTAAATAATTTAAAAATATATTAATTAGAATTAATATAAGGTAAAAAGTGGCAAATAATTTAAAGTGCATGTCTATTATAATATTCTAGATTTTATACAAATTATAGCTGGTTCTTGGTTATTACTAAATTGGGAATTATAATGTTAACCACATTGATATAGTTATCTATCTCCTCAAATTGATTATTCAATTTTCATTCAAAATCTCTCCTCAAGGGTCAAACAATCCTTATTGATGATATAAAAAAATTCCTTATGTGGTCATGTGAAGGGTTAATTATATTTTTAATAAAACCGTTTAAATAAAAATGTATATTACTCCTTGAAATGTTCCGATGAATATTATAAACTTGTTAATTCCGATATTTTGCAAGGGGCATATATCATGAGCAGTGATGACATCATATTTTGTGCTTTCACTCAAAAAAATATCCCTTTTAAATCTTGTACAAGCAATATCCCTTCGGCAAAATAGTTCAGAATTAAAAAGAAATGAAGTTTACTGATAAACATGAGCACCAGTAAGAGCACCACAGATTAACAAGTTAATTGCTTAATATAAAAAAATGGTTATTTAGTAAAATATTGTTTTTCTGATATATATATACATAATCAATTTTCAATTAAAATCTTAGTAAAAATATATAAAATCAATAACATTTTAGTAAATTTCTCAATTTTAAAGTATAGGAATATGATATCCGATAAGTTTTTTGGTATCAAATAGTAGTTTTGTTGATATATTTCAAAATCAGAAGAGAAAGATAGATGGAAAACTTTCATGGGACTTTTGTCTACTGATAATCTCGTAAAGTTAGCTGTTGGCAACAAGAGAAACAGAGTTGAAGGAAGGATAATATGGAAGATGGTTATGGAAATTTTAAGGTGAATGAGTAAGGAATACAAATATTAAATTATTTGATTCATTCAAAAGAAACGAATACTATTAATTTATTATTCGAATTTGTATTCACATTTGAATAGGTCTGTGTATATAGGTCAACAAAGAATATAAGAGCTATTTGGCATTAAAAATAATCATCCAGAAATGCTATGAATACAAATTACCAGTTTATTTTACTTTATTGATTTCACCAGAGAATTCGATAATATAAAGCAGATTGAATTGTGGTCAATTATGTCTGAATATGGTGGTAATCGGGAACCTGATAGAAAAAAAATACGGAAAATTAACTACGGAAAAAAAATTAAAGTTAAAAAAAAACTCAGAAAAAAACCTTAAGGATTAAAATTAAGTAGAACCCCCAGGTCTCTTTAAGGATGGGAGACGACCCGATGGAATTACACAAATTCATTGGGAGAATGGCCGATTTCTAGGGTGGGATTTCTCCTGCGTTGGCCCCCTCTCACCCTCCAACATCAATAAAGACATTTTAAAATACACCGAAGATTTTAAAACAAATCGTACTAGTTGTCACGACAACCTTAACATCCTCTGGAAGTCAGGCTCTTAGCCTAATTAAAAAGATTGGCAGAGCCTTAAGAACTAAATCAGGAGACCCAAAAGAAGGCGTCTACTTACGTCAAGGCATAGGAATTCAGATTATAAAATCTAATTTCACATGCTTCATATGCTCATTCCCCTAGGAGCCCGATTAATCTAGATTTTCTCCTTCTTCCCTAAATTATTTAACCACCCACCCCCCCTTCTTCCTCATATAATCATTTGCATTAATTATATTTCCATTATATCTATTATTATACTTTGTATTATGAAGTCGTTGTTTGTTATTGAATTTTCTAGAATTATGTTTTGGACATGATTTTATTTTTATATTAATATAGAATTAAAATAGATATGTTATGTATTATATTATTCTACATATATATTTTTTATAATAGATTTAGTATTTAAATAGTGTTTATTAATAAGGATTTAAACATATTTTTATTTTTAAGTTTTTTTTCCGCAGTTTTTTCGGTTGATTTTTTTTTCCACAGGCTTTTTTTCTGGGATTCGAAAATGTTATAGAACTCAATATAATACATATATTAAAAAACCTTTATACTGGTTTCAAGATAAACAATAATATATCTTCTTCCTCCAAAAAGAAAAATGCAAAAAAAGTATGCACCCTATTACTGCTCTTGTAATAAATAGGATGATTAGTATTTGCAACGGTCCGGTCCCGTCCGGTGTATTTCTTATAAAATGAGACCGGACCGATGGACCTTTAAGTCAAGTAAGACCGGACCGTGGGACCATCCAGTCCGGCCCGATCCCGTCTAAAAAAATTTTTTATTAAGCTACAAAAGTTTTATTCTGCATTAAATTTAATAAAAATGAAAAGTGTTAAATTACCAATATTTTAAATATATCATCAAATCATTTTTATTATATTATACAATACAAATGCCTAATATTTCAAAAGAATATTAAAATACAAATTTATTGAATATAATTTAAATCAATTTGATTACATATTTAATTGGTTTTTTTGATATATATATTTGAGGTCTGCATTGCGCGGGTTTTTGGACTATAAGCCTGCCGACAAATGTTTTTACAAAATTTAACCCACCCGCCCAGCACGCCCATAGTTTTCAAAAACAAACATACTCACCCGCCAGCCTATTAGTCTAAAATTCCTTACGCCCGTCCATTAGTCTAAAAATTTTTACTCGCCCACCCATTATTTATGAAAAATTTTAAGCCAAGCTCGCTATTATAAAATTTAATTATAGCTATTCTTTTAAGCATCTAATATAAAAAATTTCAGCATTACACCTCTAAAAAACGTTTTTAGGAAATTACTATATTAAGCATAAAAAATATTCAATTTAAATTATGGATAATTTATTTGATCAAATAAAATATTTATGAAAATATAAATATAAAATTGATATTATATGTAATTAATAGTGCAAAAATAATAATGAATCGACATTTTCTGGATTCAAACACGTTCTTCTTTGTACTAGAAACCTTCCAGCAATGCTAAATCTTTGTTCAAAAGAAGCACTAGTTGCAGGCATTGCCAATATTTTTCTTGCTAATCTTGTTAGCTTTGGCAAATCTCTTTCTTGTCGTTTCCACCAAGGTAGTTTTAAATAAAAAAAAAAGTTTATTAATTTTAAGAAAAATTTTATACCAAAAAAGTACACTTTAATTTTTAATATCCAAAAAAGTTCATAGGAACAATTTTTTATTAATATTTACTTAAATGATTTAAAATTTTTTTAACCCTGCTCATTGTTTAAATTTCTTTACCCGCCCATAGTTTAAAATATTTTTTAACCTGCCCGTAGTTTAAAATATTTTTTTAACCGCCCATCCGTTCTTTAAAAAAATTTGCCCGCACAATGCAGACCTCTAATATATATAATGCGATAGCTATTTGATTATAAATAAATTATATATAAATAAATATTTCAATTATCTTCTAAAAAATAAAAAAATATTCCATTTTTTATCCAAGATTCAAGTGTCATTATAAATTAAATGGTCTTTGGATTCATTCTATATCGTTTTTTTGTTATTTTATTATTTGTACATGCACATTAACTAAAATGCAATTCATAGTACAGTAAACTTTTATCTTCTTTAATCAGTCTTTGGTTGTACGGAACTGTCTTGTGGGACCCAAGAGTCGGATGAGACTGACTAGGACCGGACCGTCAGTCCAACCGGACCCTTGCAAGCACTAAGAATGATCAAAACAACTATTAGGGCAGAAAATTTAATTGAAATAACAGGATTACATCTTACATCAGTTATATAGTATTAATATTGACGAACCTTATTACTCATATCCTAGTTCATGTATTTTTTCAATAAAACTTTTTATTCAAAAAATATATAAATATCTCATTTATTTATCATATATAAAAGTCAAAAATAAATTTTTAAAGGATTGTACACTAACTATATATACATTTTAAAAGTATGAATTTTTGTTTTGTAAATACCTGAATTATTTGATTGAAAAAATTTAACATCTACAATCATATAGTTTAAATTAATTTCACATTTGTTGTGTACATCTAATTATTTGGCAAAATTAAATATTGAATAAGTTAACAAACCATTAAGGTTTTTATCTACTTGCAGTAAGTAACAGTGTCCATTGGATGATCCAGTTATAAAGTAAATTTTATTGGTATGTTTTGCTATATCTAAACAGATAACACTTTAATATATCTAAAATTGAGTAAGATTTGTAAATTTACTCTTCTTTGATTTCCCTAAACAATTTAAAATCATGTATAGAACTGTTTAAAAAATCTGAAAACTGAATACATGAAATTTTATTATTGATTTGTGTGATTAAACCAAAGTTTAATACATTTATATCATCAGTGTTTTTCAAGCAAATATAATATGGAAAGTCATATAATAAAATAAAAAACACACATTCAAGTATGAGACAATTTGATGAGTTTATCTTAATATCATACATAGAAAAATTATAAAATGGAAATTGCCTATGTGTGAAGGCTAAAATTTTTTGTAAATAAGAACTAAATAATTTTATTTCTAATGCTTCATAATCATCTAAATGAAAATCATTAATATATAGTATAGAAATATATATACTTTTCATTTTTGGTGGTAAACATGGTAATAAGGACTGATTTACTGATGGAATATAAGAATATAATTTTCTATCAGAAATGACAAAATATATGTAATATGAGTCGATTTCCAAGGCGGCAAATCCCCTCTGATTTGTGACTAAATTTACTCTTAAAAATTCGCTTTTTAAAAACATTCGGTTTCCAAAAAGAGAGGTATATTATAACTATAACATATGTGTATGTCAGTTGTCAATAACATTTAATAATGATTTCCGTGCTTATGATGTATGGACACTTCATCGTAAAGTTTCGTCCAAATCTGTGATTGGTTCATTAAAGTACGGGAAAAGTAATAAAATATTTTTTTTATAATCATAATAATGAAATTGAAACGGTGTCAAACAACATCAAAATTCTTCTGGAGAAAACAATTAATTCCAATATTATTCAAAGTTAACATCAATTTAGTAATGTTATTTTAGAAAACAAAATTACTAATAAAAAATCCAAAAGAGGACATAATATTCTATGTTTTAATGATTTACTATGCATAGGGTAATAAATTCTACATCATATTACCAATGTAGAAAAAGAAGTAGTTTTGGACAGGGTATTTTACAATCAGATAAGTTCACATCAGGATCATACCTTAGAAAAATGTATTAATGAAATAGTAGTTATATTTAGGTATATTGTTTTCATTTTAAGGTTATATAGATTTAGGATTACCTATGCTTAGGACAACCATTATCAGTAATAATATGGAGCCTTAGGTCAGCAAGTGGAGACTAAATTTATAAGGATCAGGATGTACGCAACCCCTGAGCACGGAGCGTGGAGACCCGGTTGGTGTCCCCTCCGAGATTGGAGACAAAATGCTCTATGTTCCGATGCGGAGTGAAGACGTGTCGTGAGTGCGGTCAACGTCTCAACAACGAAGGCCAGAAGTGACGGAAATGCAGGCGATATCTCAACAAAGACGGCCCTTAGTCTTAGAGGTTCCGGGCAAACAGGTGGTACCCCATGAAGAATTTATGGAATTGGAAGTAGGGAAAAAGGAATTGGATGAGATATTTGGATCATAGGAAGCACAGACCGATGCCCCTCCAATAAGGAACTTTGGAGTGAGGAAGAGTGGGGAAGAGTGGAGATGTCCTGAGTGGTGTTCATTGTATATATTATTTTTGTAAATTTTTTTTTGTTTGTAAATTTTTTATATTTTAATTTTTTTACGCGAAATAATCTTAGTGTTAACATTGGCGTATTGGTTTGCGTATAGTATATAAGACTCAGGATGAGTCGTATTATTTTTATTTTAAAGATTTATTTTTTTATATATCGAATTATAAGGTTAATGATGCTTGGTACCTTAAGGTACCATCTATCAAATTTGAATTTTGTTCATTTTTCATTTGGATAGGCACTACCAAATATATTTATAATATATATTTGAAAAATCGTGATTTTTGGAAAGCCTCTATGGCCTAGTAGGCAAGAGCTTGGCTTACTTATCCTATGCTCCCGAGTTCGAATCCCGGGAATGATCATGTTTTTTTTTCTTATTCTAACTTGGTGGTTCCATCATTGGGCGGATGATATATAGAGCCGGACTCGACCACGTGATTCCGTAATATTAAATAATAAGGGTCTTATTACATTTTAATAAATTTTGGTCGGTATTTAGCAAATTAGATTGGTATTTAAAATATTTCCATACATTCTCTTGGTAGTAAGCATCATTAACCGAATTATAAAGTATAAAAAGGCCGTTTTCGGCAGAACATGTACTATTATTGTTTTTTATTTTGAATTTAATAAAATCTATTCCATTTACGTCACTAGGAGGGAGGCAAAGGGGGTCGAGCCCCCTGGAAAATTTGAATAGCCTTTTGAAGCAAAAAAATTTTTTTTTTAATGGTTCCTTAATATCCTCTTGAACTAAAAATAATTTTAATTGCCCCCTGAACTATTTCTTTTATAATTCTATTGAGTAATGTATAGATTTATTTATTATTTAAAAATTAATAATACTATCTAAATTTTTATTAAATGAATACTATTTTAATTATTAGATTAGATTAAAACATGTAAATTATATTTTCATTGTCAGCTTGCAATCAAATTCTGTGTTTAAAATAGAATATAAATATCACTCAATAAATATTAATTTAGAATTAATAGTTTAAGCATAATTGACTTTTATTATTTAAATTATTATCTAATTAAATAAATATTAATTAAAAATTTACAAATTTAATATTGGAATTAGCCGAGTTAAAATCCCTAATCAACTATATTATTGATTTTTAAATTTAATTACCATGCCTCTTCCTAAATTATTTTCAAGGTCCAAATCCAAATAGGTATAAGAGATTTATTTATAAAAAGTAAGTAGACATATAGTTTATAATCTTTTATTATATATAATTGGCTATAAAATATTAGGTAAAATGCCACTTATACGTATTTGAAATATATTACAGTTAATATTATAATTTACTAATAAATGCTTTTGATAATAAATATAAGTAATAATTAACGCCATCTATTTGTTTAGAAATATTATTAAAAAATTAACATCTTATTAGTTATCCAACAATAGATGTAATAAATTAGATAACTTTTCTTCTCTTTTTTACGTATTTTTAGGAAAGCTATTTTTTTCTTATTTGAAAAACAGTTTTGAGTTTAATTTTTAATTCGAGTATATTTTTGATATTTTTACAACTACTATTATTTTAAGATATAATATACCAACTAGATGTGGTGCGACAATAATATATAAAATCTTAATTGCTTTTATCATATCACTCTGGTTCTTATTTTAGTTACAAAATGTTTTATTTCTAATATGGCCGTGTAAATAACTTAAGGTTTCATTATATTTGCATAATATCTTCTAAAGATTTTTAGTGTTTTTGTTTTATCAATTTATCTAACATAAATTCTGATATGAGTAATCATTGTTAGTGTCATGGCTATGACTGCAAATTAAGTAGCATCTATCATTTGTGTGGCTATGTAATTTAAAATTATTATTACAGCTGCTAAGAGCATATGATTGAATATTTTATAAGCAATAATGGTTAACTGTGTAGTCGTTTATATATCATTAAAAATGGAAGGTAATCTTTTATAAATTTAATATCTCACAATAATTTTCTCGATTACTTATCTAGCTTCCATAATGTCATCTAAGAGGAAGTTCTAACTACCATATAGTTTTATGATTTAGATTGCTCTTCTTCAAGAATTGTTGATTTTGTTAGGCCTATAAATTTTTCTTTTACATTCTATAAAACATTGTTTAGAATAATTTGCTAAGAATTATATTATAATATATGGTTTTTAAGCGGACAACGGCAATAACTCATAGTTATAATCATTTTATATTATTTATATGTATATTAAGTTAGAATTATACATTCTATTTTCATATTATAGTATAATTAGTTTTTGAAATTCGATATTAAATTTGAAGTATTATATGAAAAAAAAAGTATTTATATATATAATGATAATGGCTTAATATCAATCAAGCATTAACAGTTATAGCTTATATATTATTTTATAAATATATTCATTTATTAATTGGAAATAAAATAAATCCAATTTGATTTTGTGTATTAGCCGAGTTCAAAATCACTAATCAACTATATTTCTCATTTTTAAATTTAAACTATACATCTTCATAAGAAAACTAAGATCCAAACCAATTTATAGAAACTACTTTGTTAAAACTCTAAATATATTTATTGAAGACATCTTATACTCATTTATTTTATATTAGATAATGAAGAAAGAAGAAATTAATTTTGAAATGAATGCTTTAAATAATGGAAATAGAAGCAATATTGATAAAATTTTATTATTATTACTAGAGAAAGAAAGAAGAGTTATTGATTTTGAGATGAATGCTTTAAATAATGGAAATAAAAATAATATTGATATTGATATTTGAGACAAAGAAAGATAAGGCAATGATAGAGTTGGAGTTGGACAAAGTACATTTAAAATCAGTTTTACAATTTCTAACTATACTTTAGATTATAAAAAACAGTAGTTATAGTTCTGAGAGATATAAACCTTGAAAGCTAAAAAGTTAAGAGAAAGAAAATAAATAAATAAATTTATATATTAGGTATTATATTTGTAAAACAATAAAAGCTATATGTAAAACTCAATATGAAGATATCTCTTCTGGTATAAATTTCTAATGTAATTAAAGATAAAATTAAATATAGGTATGAATTCTGATGAGGATGCTATAATATGATTGTCGATAGCAACAATCCATATATAGGTATATTAGACAATGAAAAAATAAAAGCAGAGTTGTACATTTGCTCAAAATAAAAAGATCCAAAATTTGAAGATCTTTTATTTTTTAAAAATTTTGTGTAACGATCTTCAAAGATCTTCATGATATTTAATTTTTTTTACCCCTTTATTAAAAGCCCAGATATTTTTCAATTTTATTTATAATATTTCTTTTATGTTTTATACCTCTCCTCCTGCCTTGATGAAAGAAAAAAATATTATTTATTTTTAAGCATGTTAAATTAAAATATAAATTTAATAAAGATGCACCGACAATTTTCATAATCGTATTTTATAAAAAAAGTTTTACCACAGAAGGGTAAAAATTTAATTTATATTATTAATAAAATGTTAAATTCAGAAAAGCGATAATTTTTCTAATCGATAAATGGGTAAAAATTAATATTGTAAAAAAAATTTAAGTTAAAATTAAAGGGGTAAAAAAATAAATAATGAAGATCTTTGAAGATCGTTACACAAAATTTTTAAAAAATAAAAGATCTTCAAATTTTACTTGATCTTTGAAGATCGTTGCTCAAATTTTTTTATAAATAAAAGATCTTCAAATTTTACGATCTTCAAAGATCTTGCTCAAATTTTTGAGCTAGATCTCGCTCAAAAATCTTCAAAGAAGATCTTTTGTACAACTCTGAATAAAAGATCATTTTTTCATCAATAATGAATATTTTATCACTAAGTTTCAAAATTTTTTTATATTCGAAATCACAAATATTTAATGCTCTTTAATATTATAAATTATAATATATATGCTGCAATCGCAAATATTTAATACTGTAATAAATATATAAATATTATGTATTAATAAATATCATCTTAAACTTCCAAAGGTCTTGTATTATTTTACTTATTATTTATAAGCTAATATTAAGATGTATTCATAATTAGGGACAAAATATGAAATTTGAATATTATTTCAGAGTTTGCAAATTTCAATTTAAAAGTATAATATATTTAAAAATAACCCCGTCGAAGCCCCGCAAATTAAGGGGTGTGGAGGGTGCGTTTTTGGTTGAGCCCCCTAGGATTGTATAAGCTAGAGACACCCCTGATGCTATCCATTTTAAACATTGCATTTATAAATTAATAATCTTTAATTGAATTATCTTTGCTTTTGAGGAAACAGGTAATATTAGATTTTTATCCAAGTGGATGTTATATTCTTCCATGCAAATCAAATCCAATATGCTTTTGATATATTTACTATGTCATGGATTTCTTCTGACTTTATCGGTTTGATAAAAATGTTGAAATTTTACGGAGCATATTTTTTTAAATATTTACTAAATGATTTTAAATAACAAATAAAAGTTGTAAATTTTTAACCCGCCCACCCGTTAACTTATAGATAAATATTTTTCCTAACCCTCCCACCCACCAGTTCTTTAAAAAATTTAACCCGCTTGCCCGCCCTCCCACTTAGATGGTCTAATATACATCATTAAACTGGAAATTCAATGTTGATTCCGTATATATACAAATTTCTGAGTTTTCTTGAAAATTTATAAAAATTAATTATTAATTAACTTCTTTTCTTAAAATATATATTATATAACAATATATACATCATTAAACTAAAATTTTTATTGTGATTCTGAATATATACAGATATATAATTATTAAATAATTATAGATGCTTAATTATGTTACTTTAATTTTAAATACTAGAGGTTATTATAAAAAAATTATTTATTTTATATATTATAAATATTTTCTGCATTTATTAATTTTTTTAATCTGTATACATTTTAAATTTAAAAAACAAAATTTGTAAGAATATAAAATGCTTTTTTAAAAATGTATATATTTTTTTAATCGTTATATTTTTATCAGAAAAACGCAAAAAATCAAAAAAATCCTAAAATATTTTATATCAATGAATATATTTTGGCACTCTACGGTTTTTTAACCCATTTATTCATGAATTACAGCTGACTAAAATGAAAAATATTTTGAAACATGTTTTATTACCATTAAAATATAATTGTTATACCCGGAGTGTTTTATATCTATCACATTTTCCTATAGATGACAGACTCTATAATTTATCTGATGACCAAAAACAGGTAAAAAAAACTGTTAATCTCAATTTTAAATTATTAAAGCTGCGAAAAACAGTATTTGATTTTGCTCAAAAGGAGTTGGCCCCTCAAGCCTATATTATTGATAAATGTAACGACCTTAAGGATATTAAAGTATTTGATCTATCAATATTATTAATGATAAATTTTGTAGAAATTTTGGAAAAAACTTGGAAACTTAGGCCTTTTAGGAATAACTGCTCCTTGTAATTATATTGTTTTTTTTTAAATATAATATAATATTTTAAAGCCCAGTATGGAGGCTCGGGTATGGGTTATATGGAACATTGTATAGCCATGGAAGAACTATCAAGGGCTAGTGGCTCATTAGCATTAAGTTATGGAGCTCATTCTAATTTAACAGTCAATCAAATAGTTAGAAATGGTACAGAAGAACAAAAAAAGCGTTTTTTACCACAGGTTTAATACTTTATTTTCAAAAATTATCTTCATTTTAAACAGATATTTTTATTTATATATATAAAGACAAAACTTTTTCAGCAAAAATTATTATTAAAATATATTATAATTTAAAACCTTTTTAAATTGACTTTTTCTATTTTTGTCTATACATTTAAAATCTAGTTGATATCTGGTGATCATATTGGGGCTTTAGCTATGAGTGAATCCGGTTCTGGCTCTGATGTATTTGCAATGATAACTACAGCTTTTAAAAAGGGTATAAATTCTGAGATTAATATCAAAAATTAAACCATAATTTTACATTCAATTATTTTTAAAACACTATAAAATTAAAAATACAATATCTTAATTGTGTTCTTAAAAAGGAACCATAATTATATGTAAAAATTTCTATCTGAATTTTTTGACACATATATAAAAATTCTTTAGCCTTGTTTGTAAAACCCAGATTTTTGTGCCTAGATTTTTTAAAATGTGGTTCCTTATTGGGAACACAATTATGAAATTGTATTTTTAATTTTATAGTGTTTTATTATGATAAAAATTTTTAACAAAGTAATAGATTTAACATTCAATATATTTGTGTTTGTGATATAAGTATAACCATATTTCAATGGAGAGGTGGGAATTTATTATAAAATATAAACTAGGATGTGCACGTTGGTGTTCTTTTTATAATCCCTAAACATCACTTGGCCAATATCAGTGTTATTTAAAAAAAATATCAAAATTACTATTTCATTCTTTTTATATTATATATATTATGGACTTGCAGAAATCAAAATTTTAGCAGTAGATTAAAAAAATATATTTATAGGCCCAGACTGGATTTAAAAAATATCTTTTAGTCACAGTCCAGATTTTTTTAATTTTATGACTTGTCAGAATTTTTAAAATTTTGTTATTTTAAATAATTTTGGCTGTATTTATATTTCAAAGTTAAATTAATATGAATAGAAAATTATATTAAGCACTAAATTATATGTTTCCCCACTGATTATTGATTAATTTAGATTTATTTGTAAAAAATAGCTCAGCTTGAATTTAAATTTTTTTTGACTTGGTCTAGGTTTGTATTTTATTTTTAAACTTGTTCCAGCTATTATTTTATATTTTTAACCAGTTCTGGGTAGGCTTGCAAGTTTCTGATATATATAAATAGGTATGAATTCTTAAAAGAGAAGGAGCTAGCTCCCCCTCTTTCACTACTAAATTATTAACCCTTTCACGCCCGAAATATTTCCTGCGAACAAAAAATTTTCTTTTTCTAAAACTGAGTTAAACAAGACACAAATAACACATTTTAACGTTTTTTATTTAAAAAAGTGTATATATATAGAATTATGAAATGTTACCAATTGTCATCATTGGGATATTCATATGTAAAAAAAATATACAATTTATTTTGAATGATAAGAAATAAAACAATTGCGATTTTTATTTAAACATAAAGATATTTTACATTTTATACATTCAAATCTTGAATAACCATTTTTGCAGTACTTGAATCTGTGTCTACTAGCCGCTGATGGCCATGCCCTGTTTTATCAAATCTGATATCTGGGATTGGATGAAAACTATTCAACTTCTTTCTTTTTTTTTCAATCTTCAACGAAAGTCATAAATGATTTTAGCTAAGTGACATCAAAAAAAGCTCACAATGGCTGCAATCAAAATAGGGAACGATGTTTATTTTGATAATAATTATTTAATCGATTTATAAAATGAATGAGAATAGATCTATCTTCAGTCAAGACATCTACCTGAAATGTGTTGTACAAGGTGGCCCGATATTGAACATCCAAATAAGTTTAAAAAATGTTAATAACATAAAAAATATATAATATATATAAAACACATATTTATTTCTTAATCGTAAGGCTTAAAATAAAAATTTACTTTACGTTAGAAGAATACTTTCGATTACTCCAAAAGAGAATAATCAAAAAATAGAATAGTAATATCTATTATAAAACTATAAGAAAATGAAAAAAATACAAAATTGAATATAAAACCCATTTTCAAAATATACCAAAAGCTTAACTTATTATAAGGTTGATAAAATAAAAGATTAAAGTTAAAATTTGAATCTTGATAAAATAAAATTAATTAATAAAGGAATAAAATAAAATGTGTTGTGGAATGTATATCTAACATTCTCTCCTTTAATTATTTTGAGGTGCAAGCTTGCAGATATCATGTTTGTTTCGATTGTCATCATTGTTATTGGTGGTTTTGGATTCGGTTTGATATAGATTGTCGTCTTCATCATCAGTTGTTTTGGCTTGTAATATTATTAGCCAGATATCGTTAGTTGAGTTGCCGTGTTGGCCACATCCATCTTATCTATTCATTCTTGATTTCATATAGTTATTATTATCCATTACCATTATCCTCACCATATTGTATTTCCATTTAATATTCTATGATAAATGTGAACTGAAAACTTATTTTCATGAATTTTAATATTTAAGTATGATTAAATTTTTATTTTATATTACATGCGTTTTATATGAATGTTAAATTTATTTTATATTACACGCGTTTCATAAGATATAAAATATATACTATTTATAACATATTATCTATATTGAATGTCTTTGTATGTTTTGCTGATATATTCTTTGAACTGTATTGGCATATATTTTATTCTTACCGGTTTATGTACCCTCATATACTTATTACTGCCTCTCATCTTCTTTTTTTAGTAGAGGAGTCATCCTAATCGTTGTTGATGTTGCACAAAACAGTATCATCTAATCGTTTTTAATATGATCTAAATGCCATCTTATAATATTGTATCTTGTTTCAATTTCGACAAAAGATCATTTTATTTTTTCTTAATTATGCCTTTCTCCCAACTATTTTCTCCGAATACCGTTATACCATGATTTTCACTTACGTTAATAGTTGTATTTTGTGAAATTGTTATAACTTTATTATCATTATTATGTAAAGGTTTAGGTCCCACATTGTATTAGTTACCAGTGGTGGTATTAGGTGTGTTTCTGTAATTTAATAAAAAAAATTCAAACGCTATGTCCACATCTATATTATTTTTCTCCAAATTTTTTTAAATGTTTAATTATAATGTTCTTACTACCCTCCACCTGTCTATTCGATTGCTGGCGGTAGGCTGATGTTAATATATATTTTATACTATTGTCATGAGAAGATTTTTTAAATAATTTACTGGTGAAATTGGTACCATTGTCTGTGCCAATATGCTCTGGTATTCCAAATAAGCTTATTGTTTCCATAAGCAAGCTAGCCAACGAAGGTAGCTACTAATTGGGCCAACTAAGTGAACCTACTAATGCGGCGCATTGAGTCGACTCAAGTTGGGATCGTTTTTCTACTAGAAACTAGATACGAGTCGCGGCTAAGTCTACTCGGCTTAGCCATTTAACAACTCTACATACATGTATGCGGATAGATTAACACGAAAAGATCTTAATATATTAAAAATAACTATTTGAATAATTTAAAGATGGAATTTCCACCTAAATATTGTAAACTATTAGTTTTAATCAAAATCTGTAGGTCATGCCTATAAACCTGACCCTGGAAGTAAAAATATAAACTAAAAATATTTTAAAAAATGGGTGGGAAAATTTATTGGTGACCAAATTTCATAAAGGGGGGTGGGTAGGGGGTGTCAATTTTCTGGGGAAAAATTTTCCGACCGAGTTCAAAAATAAAATGTTCTGTTTGGTTAGTTTTAAATATTTGTTTATTTTTAAAAATATGCTCCATTAGCTGATCATTATATTTTGAATGGATCAAAATTTTGGATTACCAATGGACCTGATGCAGATATATTTATAGTGTATGCAAAAACATCTGACTCCAAATCGAAGTCATCAAACAAATCTAAACATAACAATATAAGTACATTTATAGTTGAAAAGGTATTACTCGTCTATTAAACGATACATTTAAACTAATATTAATAATAAATCATCTAGCATTTTTTAATCTTTATCGTGCTTATAATAAATCTTCAATCTAGAAAAATAAATACCTTTTTTTAAATTAACAATTATTTTTTAAATTTATCATGTTGTTTAATGGGGTTTTAAAAAGTTTCTTTAATTACTTCTCTTAAATTATAAATATATAGGTGCCAAATTTATGGTAATTTCATATCAAAGGCGTATTGCAAAAATCTTGAACCTCCTCTATAAAAAAGAAAAGGACCCCTACCCACAATTTAAAAAATGGTTTGGGGGCGCTGGAGTTTTTGTTGCACTTCTAATTTTTAAACAATACTAGTGGGCGTCACTGTCGGTCTTTAGTCCAAGATAGAACCTAAAGACTGGGGATATGCTAATTTTTAAATTGATCGTACAAGCAATTATAATTTAAATATGTGTAAGCACTGAATCTTAAACCCCGAGAAACGATCATTAAAAAAGACTGATCTGATTAGGGTTAAAACCCGACAGGACTGTTGACCCTCACTAGCAATTATTAGTTTTATAAATTTATTTAAATATGAAAATTGACATGATTGTTCCTTTTACAGAGAATAGATTTGTAACTTGTATGTTTCTCTTATTCCCAAAATTATAATTTACATATTTTTTCCCTTCTTTTTCCTTAGACTACTCCTGGATTTTCTAAAGGTCTCAAACTAGACAAACTTGGTATGCGCGGCTCAAATACTTGTGAATTGATATTCGATAATTGTTGCATTCCCGGTTTTAATATTTTTTATAATTTTTGCAAATTTCTCATTTCAAAAATGTAATGCTCAGTTAAATGAAGATTTAAACATCATTATTTAGAGGAAAAAAAAATACGTTTTACCTGGAGAGATATTTTAATCAAGCTAAGCACGATCTTTATTTTGCCTATTCACTGCAATGGTGATATTTTTAAATTTTTTCTATTCTATTTAATCTTACCATTTTATTATAAGAAACCAAATTATATGCGCAATTATAACCAAATTTGCAGGTTTTTTTTGAATATTTGCTCAGTTCAATATAATATATTTTAAAAAGTTTTGAGCTACAACATATATAGTTTTATCTAAATAAAATTGGGTAAGTCCTATGTATGGTCAAGGGTGTTGTTCATATTAAACCATGGAGATTTTCCGACTCGGTCCGACCCGTAAAATAATAATTTTTTATAAAGGAAATAATAAAGTTATGCGAACTTTCGGCCATGCCCGTAAAAGTATTTTGCACACGTTTTCAGGGTCGGCTCAGAAATCTTGTTGTCCGCCGATCTCTAATTTATCATGGAGACCTTCAACGTCGATTTTTACTGCCCGCTCTCGCCTGAAACCCGGTTGTTTAGATCTAGTTCAATGTCAGTTGCAGCAGCGGTTCGAATTTTTGAAAAAGCTTTATAGGGAAGAAATTTCTATCTCAAAAATATTAATTTTATCCTGTGTTAATATTCAGCAATAAATTAAAAAATTTAGTAATGTTTTATCTATGCTATATAACAAAAATAAATATAGGTGGAGCGGCGTTCCTCCACTCCAGCCCTAAAAGGAGATAGCTCCCTCTCCTTATTTTTAAAAGGAGAAGCGATCCAAATGTTTTTGAAAAAGTGTAACGGCGCTCCTAGAGCGCCGCTCAGTAACAACTCTGGTTATAGATTGGAACTCATTAAATTACTAGATATTTCATTTAGATTTATTCTTACACACATTTTTGAATGACTTTTGGGCTTTAAATTTCCGACCGAAATATCACTATTATTGAACCCCTAATAAAGAACCTACAAAATAGCCTTAATCCTACTTATATTAACGACATACAATTATTAAAATCCAACTAGCTATACGGAGGGCACGAATAGCTCGAAGCACTTCCAAGCCAAACCTTAGATAATCTCTTAACCAATGAACTGAGAGTTACTATAGGATTTAGACTTGCTCACTTACACAACCACGCGCGCTGCCACCAATGTAACTTACCCGTACATGCTAACACCGCCTTAACTGCACCCGTAGTCAAGGTCGCCATCTCCGTTAAGCAATCAACAAAATCATCCATATGGCATTTAATAAGGCAAAAATTCCCCAACATCCTCTAACCAACTAACCTTTCATTACAGGATGGCCTTAGACATGACGGTTTAACTTGCACTCCTTGGTCCAATGGCAAATCCCTTATTTGAGACTCAACCTGCGTCTCTTCCTTTCCTTCCTCAATGGAAAACAAAAAAATTAATAAATATTAAAAACTCAATAATTTTATATTTCAGCCAATAGTCATATCAACTAATGGCAACATTTCCTAGTAAACATACCATTTTTTAAAAATTTTATCACGGAAAATAAAATAACAAACGAATACCGCGATCCTATATTTCTCAAACAAAAACTTCAACTTGAAACTTTCAAAAATTATACTTGTTTTTTAGGAACAAACTCATTACTAAATTATGATACTTATATATATATTTATTTTTATTTAGTAATCTTAAATATTTTTATAAATAGTTAGTTATTATAATTTTCAAATTTATATGATTTTCAAATTAGATTTTAATTACAAAATAAAATAATAAATTCGTCTTTCGTTATAACAAAATATTTATATGATTTCCACCCTCCAGATTTTTTTGAAACAGCTAATTTCTTAAATTCATTTTATAAATGTGATACTGAATCAAACACAAAGGTAATAGTAGGAAGGAAATATAGTATTAATAATTTTCAGGCCATGGGGCGAAACTATATATCATTGGCTATGTTACTGCCGACCATGTAGGGCTCTAATATATATTACACGAGACTTATGAAAATAATTTTAAAAACTCTCAAATCAATTAATTTAAAACTGGAATTAATTATCGAAAACAGTGCATTAGAATAATCTTCCCAAGCGAATATATTAGACCCTTAAGAAAAACTTGAAATTAAGCCAATAAAAGTTATTCATATTTATTTTATATCTAAAATCAGTAGCGAACCCGGCAAAATTTTTGCGCAGATTCGGTTCGGGTTCGCTATAAGGTTAAAAAAATAGGCGGGTTCGGTTCAGGATTTTTGAATCCAGATTTGGTTCCGGGTTCAGCTCGGGATTAAGAATTTTTAATTGATAAAAAAAATTTTCTATATTTAAATCATAATTAAAAAACTAGACCTTAATTTCGTATAAAAAATAAATTTTTTATTTTATATATAGGCAAAATATAGTTAAAAATACAAAGCATAGTCATGTATAGATTTAAAAAAATTTATTTAGACGTATTTCTTTAAATTAACAATATCCAATATAATAATTTTTACCTTGACTTGTTCACTTTCATTTTCCTCTAATTAATAATCTTGAGAATAAGTTAAAAATTAAAAATAAATGTAGTAAATGAATTTAATTGTTTAATATTTATTAACAATCCAATAGGAATCTTTGAGAATAAATTTAAAAAAATTTAAAAATGGATTAAATGAATTAAATTGTTTAAAATTTATTAACATTTCAAATTTGAAAATATTATAAAATGTCAAGTAAATTATTAATATTTGTATTTACAATTATACAAATATCTTATAATAATTTAAACAATACACTGAACCCTGGTAAAATTCCCGGGTTCGGTTCGGGGTTTTGAATATTTTATTAAAAGAGTTCAGGTTCTGTTCGGGTTCAAATTTTTTTCCCCGAAACCCGGGTTTTCTTTTCCGGGTTCGGGTTTGGTTCGAACCCCTGTCTAAAACCCAAAGTTTACATTTATTGCGAATCTATTAAAATGATTTTATCATTTATATTATAAAAATTAATCTAATATACATACTTAATCTTTATTAAATTTTTTAATGCTTTTATTTTAATAATGTGAATTTATTTAGATATTAATATAACTTGGTAAACTATAAGACATTATATTATTACGATAAATTTTTAAATTATTATATTAGTTTTTTTTAAATAATTCAAGCCGAAAATTTACTGGGAAAAGAGAATGATGGTGCCGGTATTCTCATGTCTGGTTTAGATTATGAAAGATTGGTTTTATCCGGGGGACCCTTGGGGTTTGCATTTTTATCAAAAATATAATAAATAGTGGTTTTAACAATTGTAATCATTGGAGGTCTTTTTATTTTTTCCTTGCTCAGAAAGAAAATGTTTTAGGCTTGATTAAATTAAATTGTGCTAGGCCTTTGCCTCATCTTAAGCTAAGCGACTCATATGGGTCAAATTAATTTTTTTCTCGTTGAAAACGGGTGCGAAAAATTATATTTTGAGTTTGGAGCCAGCTGGAATTCTCGGGACCGGATTAAATTCAAAAAACCTAAAACCATAACTACTCTTAAATTTTATATGAACCAGAACCTATTTTAATTTCCAGAACCCAGTTCTAATTAAAGTAAGACGAATTTATATGTATATTATTCTAAATTTTATGTAATTTATTTGAGGGTTCATTTTATTTTATGTTTAAATTTATTCTTATTTGTTCATTAACAGAACTTGAAACTAGTTGAACGGCTTGATTAAGAACGGCTAATCCAAAATTTTAGCTATAAAAAATATTAAGCAAGCCTGGAGATTTTGCTCATAGATGGAGAAAGGTTTAGACATCTATTAACGAAATCTCGAAGTTTTGCTTAATATTATTTTGGCTAAAATATCTCGATTCAAAATATCGAGCCGTTTAACAACACTTCTTGAACCTGAAACTATCGAACGAGTTTCATTTCTAAGAACCCAAATCATAACTCTAAAATATTAGGAATCGAAAGTAGAACCGCATTTTTAACATATTTTTAGAACCTGAACCCTTCTTATTCTTAGCTCAGGCTCTAAACTGTAAAAATGAATCTAATTTTTACCAAATAAATGGCTTTAGGAGTAACATTTTCAACTTCCAAGGAATTTAGATACAATTAAATTTAATAAATGTTTAAATCCTTTTAATATTATATTTTATATATAATCAAAAAATTATATATATAAAATAAATTATTGTAAAAAAGAACGATTAATTCTAAAAATTAGCTTGCGAATCGGATCAGCCCTATTTTTACGATTCCGATTCTAGGAAAAACTAAACTATTAAGAACACGTGCTTGGTGCTTTTAAATACATAGTTTTTTTTTTAATTATTGGGTGCTAATAAAAAGGATTTTTAAAAAGGCTAAAATTTTTGGTCTGTTACTTATAAAAAATAAAAATTCAACTAAATTTTTTAAATAACTTGGGGGTGGGGGTAGTAAAAATAATTCTTTTTATATGAAATGTTTCAATTTTATAATAATAATATTTTGGGCATTCAAAACTAAAATCGGTCCAGACCACAGTTCTATTATTTCCTTATATTGTGCTCCACAGTTAGGTTGGTATTTACATTATGGTTTACAATTCGGGTTGGCCTTTAAAAATTGGTTTTATACGAAACCTTGTCTTTTATTACGCCCTTGGGATGCATTTCTCATCCACTATGCCCTCTACAAGGTCAACTTTAAAATCGCTACAAATTATACTAAATGTGCTTTGCCTAGAAGGAAAAAATATATTATTTTTAAACTCTTTTCTTAAAGGATTGGGAAAAAATGGCCTAGGCTTAGAATAAATTAATAATAAGAACGAGATTTAATTTAGTATTTATATATGATAAGTTTAATTAAATATTTATATTTATATAAGAGATTTAAATTATTCGCATAAAGAGGTTAGGATGCTCGTTTTGACCTTTTATAATTTACTGGAATATAAGATTTTTGAATTATCATTGTTTATAACTCATCAAATTGTTCCCATTAAAGATTACAACTTTAACCTATCTTTTGCTTTTTGTAGTATAATGCAAGCTTGTTGTGATACAGCTTTTGACTACTGTCACCAAAGACAAGCTTTTGATTCATCTACAGCCACATTTCAGGTAAATGAAATTATATAAATGAAATATTTTAAAACTTTTTTTTCAAATAGATACGTTTTTATGTTTGTGTCGGGTTTTATAAAAAAAATCATAAGACTAAATAAATGTATTTTTAAATTTTAAAGAAAGTTTAAACCTATTTTTTTTTATCTGGATCTGATCAAACAAAAAAACAAAAATGAAAAAAGATGTCCAATGTACAAATTAAATGAAATAGAAGTCTAAACCTTTAAAATTGCTAGAGATTTTATTTTAATAAAAATATATTTGAATTTTAAAAGATTGGAGCAATTTAAAAACCTTTTATTTTTGCTAAAATTACTTCATATAGTCGTATTTTTTTTTACAATCTAAGAAAACTCATTATTTCTTTTCATTTGTAAATGTTATAAATACAAAAAATATTCAACATCACTGAGAATATTTCATTGCTAATTTAAAAATGTGTTATGGGTATCTCTTTTTAAAAAAATTTAGGTTTATCTTTTCCTTTTTTTCTTTAACTTCTACTACTTTTACTCATTTTATATAAATACCTTACAAATCTAGTGGACAATCAGGTTGGTTCAGACCGCCCTCACAACCCGTTTATTTAAAAAAAAGATTGTTGGCTGCATTCACATTGATTTAGAATCAAAGTTCAATTACTTTGTCGACCAAATTGGTCCAGTCTTGGTTGAATTTAAAAACCAATCTTTTTTTTTAATTTTTAGATTATATTTAATCCAGAGATCGTCCATTATCCTAGGATATAGTTAAAGAGATAAACATAAGTGTTAGTTCTAAAATAGATTATCTAATGAATAAAAATAAAACTAACATAAGTTATATAAATAGTAAATAGGCCTGTACGAAGCGAATAATTGCATTATTAGCATTAACCAATCGATTAACTGGAACATAATTGACCTAAATTTATAGAATTTGTTGCTTCATATTTAAATCCGTATATCTTTCATTGCTCTATGGAATCAAAGCGTTTTGTACTTACTATGCTTTTATAGTCAAAAAAATAGATTCTTTATTATAAAACTGTTTCCTATATATAATCTTTTATAATTATGTCATTTAACTTCTATTAATATGCAATTATATTGACCTCCATAAGATATATTAAATGTAAGAAAGTTATATATTCTTTCGTTGTTAAACTTTTGCAAAGAAATTTTTACAATGATCCTTCGTTTATTTTTAATTTGTATTTCAATAAATAACAGTTGATGCAATCAAAAATAGCAAATATGTATGTTGAATTGGTTTCATCTAGGTCTTATGTTTACAACGTTGCTGCGAATTGTGACCAGGGTAAATGTGTCCCTATGGTATTATCATTTTAACTTATATTTTCTTATTAAAACTTCTATTGAAAACGATTATTTATCATTTAATTAAATTAATAAACAGGAATAAGAGTTTGTTGTATACAATTTCTTTAGCCTGATATAGTTTTAAAAAATATTTTTAAGTATGCTCATTAAATATAATTCTGTTTATGGGGGGTGATTAAGTATATTCCTATTATAAATATAATTATTAAAGGATTGTACTGCCGCAATTTATTTAACTTCGAAAAGGGCCACTCAAATCGCCTTAGAAGCTATTCAATGCCTGGGTAACTCGTTTCTTATTATTAGAAATACACTAAAAATAGAACACCTTAAATTAAATATCTAGATAAAGAACGATTTTTGAAAATTAGATATTTAACAGCTATCTTATCGTATATTAAAACGTTGTACTACAGAGACCAAAGTTTTATCGATTACAATTTTATTTTCAAGCCTGGCCTTAATTTTAAAAGGCAGGAATTTGTTATTTTAAATTGGAAATATGAGAAGCAAATGAATATTAAATGATCTATTTCTTCTATGATTTTCCATTTAGCGTGAATTCGTGGCGAAGTATACAAAACATGCTGTATTTTTGTATCCTTAGCTGCGAATTCGTGCTAACTGTGAATGAGGTATAATTGATATAATTAAATTTATTTTACAAAATTGGATTTCGCCCGGATTTTATTTTTAATCCCTTTGTAATTTTTTAAAGCTTAGCACAAAATTTTAAAATAATGCCATTTTACGCCTTATTCGGGGTTCTGGAGATTCATGATTAAAATTATTTTATTCTCGACCAATTTGATAATTACAATATCCGAAATACAAATAATAAGGTGGAAATGGATATATCAACGATTATCCCACTGGTAGACTGCTTAGAGATGCGAAATTATATGAAATAGGAGCTGGAACGAATGAAATAAGGCAGTTGGTTATTGGTAGAGCTATAAATGCAATGTACGGAGTCAAGCGGAAGAATTAAATTATAATCTTATAAATGACCTTTGAAATTTTTTTTTTATACCATACAAGTTAAGTTCGTGACATTTATTTTTAATGATGTTAATTAAATTATGGTTGGCTCATCATTTACTATTCAAACAAACAACATTCTGTATTATTTCAAGTTTTATATCATGATACATTATTATTAAATCGACTTACAAATATTTTTAATAATATATTATATTTTACACAGTGTATGAATAGAATATTATCAAAAAATCAGATATAATTCAATTTCTAGGTTGTATATAAATTTATAAAAAAAGATAAACGTATTTTTTAAAATGTGAGATTATTATTTATCAGGCATTTAAAAAAATAAATATAAATCTTATGAATATTTTTTATAAAATATTTTATCTCAAAACTTGATAAAATTTTGTCAACAAATTATTTGGTTTTATTTATATTATTTAGGATTTTTGCCAACAATAGTTATAGTAAATAATTTCGATAAATTATATACTATAATCCTTAATTTTAATCCCCGATTTTTTAATAAAAATTTTGAATAACATAAAATTTTAAATCATGCTTATACATTATAATAACATAAAATTTAAAATATATATTATAAATTATAATAATAATACGTATAAATTAATTACAAATTTTAAAATGAAAATCAGTTAAATGTGTAAATCATATAGTAATAGCAATTTTTATAAAATTAGATTTTTGTTTTGCAAAAAATTTAACAAACCATATATATTATTTTATAATCTGTGAAATTCTAAGTTCGATCGCGAGACTTTATTTCCAAGATATTGTTGGACAATCTATGATCGGCTGAGTAAAAAAATAAAACAGCGAATGTTCCCGAAATAACTAAAATTAGGAGTTGCCAATGCAACAAAAGATATTTGCTGTAATAAAAGGCTATGGCAGCCATCGTTGACTAAGAATATATAATTTTTTTTATAAAACATTGTTACATTATTTTATAATTTTAAGATTAAAGTTGGTTGGTGGGTCTATTTATAGCTCGGCTAACCACATAATAAATCATTATATTACTGAATATCGCTCTAATGGAAAATGTTGCTCGACTAACCACATAATATATCATTTATTATTTAAATATTCTCGGCTATTTACATAATAAATTATTTATTACTAAATATCGCTCGGCTATAAGTACTTGTTTATTTATGTATTATATTTTTAATCATATTACAGTGGGCCTTCACTTACCTAATATTAATTGAGAATTAATTAGTTTTATAAATAAAATAAATTTTGGGCAAGTATAAAATATTTTCTTTTAGATATTTTAGCTTCAATACTTTTATAAAATTAAACTTTCACAACTTTATTTTTATTTATAAAAGTAAAAAAATAATATTCAATCTGCTAGATGGGGTCTTTATAAAAATTTTATTATAAAATATAAAATAATAATTTTTGAATGTGTCTAATAAATTTTGCCTTAAAGAAATGCTATAAAAAAATCGTAAATAATAATATTTCTAGAATATCAAATATATTTAATCTTTATCATAAAATAGAAAAATCGTAAATATCAAATATTTCTAGAATATCGAATATATTTAGTCAATATATTGTATCAGAACTGTGAATTCTAATTAAAGTATAATGACTTATAAAAATTAGTTAAAATAACAGAAATATCATTTTTTTAAAAAAATTTATTTTAATTAGTATTGCCATAAAAATAATTTATCGTCATTTATATATTTTTAATGATGAGACCTGAACCCCGTTTTTCAAAACACCGAACCGTACCCGAGAATTTTATTTGAACCCAAGTTCCATCGGGTTCATTGTATTATATTAAGATATTGGTATAATTGTAAATACAAATATTAATAATTTAATTGAAATTTTATAATATTATCAAATTCCCATAATAAATTTTAAACAACTTTTTAATTTATTCTCAAAGATTCCTATTGGAGTGTTAATTAATTTAAAACTATTAAATTCATTTACGCCATTTATTTTTAATTTTTAACTTATTCTCACAGATTAAAATATTATAAATGTAAAATAAATATACATAACAAAAAAAAGAAAAGTAAAAAAATCGGATCGGGTTTTTACAAGTATCAGCTCGATCTATAATTTTTGGAAAACGCGAAATATCGGTGCCGATCTTGGCACAGCCCTATTAATGATTTTTGTTTTCCTCATAATTTCGTTAAATGAGCTCTGGTAACCTCTTCCTAATCAATGGTTAATAGGATTTATATCTGGGGTCGAAATATAGTGATGCATAAAGAATATTATTATTTAAATAAGTATCCTATTTAAATCTCATATGCCCTAGTATTTCATTGGAAATATCATGGTCTATTTTATTATAATACTACATAATATGAAATCTTTTATAAAGAATATTGTATTTTTTTAAAAATAAACAAAAATTATTTTTTTTAAAAAAAGTTTGAACTCTGAACCCTAGAATTTTAAAATAGGGTTTGGGTTCCGTGAAATGTCGAGTTGATTTTAAATAAAAAATAATAATAATTGATGTAAGGAAATAAGGCGAATTCCCGGAATGAAATAAATGATTTTTAGAAAAAAATAAAATATATCAATTGAAATAACAGTGACAGATGCGTCAAACAAGTTTATTTCAAAATAAAATCATTTATGACATCACCAATTTTTTTCGAAATCAGATTCAATGGAGGATGCTATATTAAGGTTAATATTCATTTACTCTTCATATTTCCTTTCCCTATGAAATGATTTATAAATTTTATTATGGTTTTTACTTTTCATTCAAATAAATATGTTACAGGGCTTTGAACCCTCCTAAAAAAGGGTTCTGGTTTACACAAAGTCTTTGAACCAGGTACGGATTCAGGTTCGGTGCCCAGAATAATAAAGACGTAAAATTTAGTTAAAACAGATACATAATTTTACTTTAAACCAAAAAGCTCAAAAAACCACATAAGCGATGTCAAATTAAAACAGAAAGGATCCGAAAATTTTTTTATAAATTTTAAATCCCTATTTTTCCCCATTATTCTTCTGCTTATTTCCTATATCTCTAGAATATTGAATATATTTCGTCATTATATATAATTTTATTACCCTAAATTTATATTTAAATCTTATCTGACGAACAAATTATAATTTATTAACTCAATAATTATATTATAAACTTATATCAATTTGGCAAAAATAATTATGATTTATAATTATGCAATAAATCGAATTACTTAAGTTATTAATTTATCTGATTAATAAAAATTGCAAAATTTAAAAAAGACTACTAATTTTTTACTAAAATATAGATAATACGATTTAAAAAAAATTGTAAATATTTTAACATTCAAAATATTATTTTTATATTTTATGATAAAATTTAAAAAAAAGACGCCATCTAGCAGATTGAATATTATTTTTTTACTTCTATAAATAAAAAAAATTTATGAGTAAGTTTAATTTTATAAAAATATTGAAGCTAAAGTAATTAAAAGATAATTTTTTATACTTGTCCAAAATTTATTTTATTTAAAAAAACTAATTAATTCTCAATTAATATTAGGAAAGTGAAAGCCCACTGTAATATGATTAAAAATATAATACATAAATAAACAAGTACCTATAGCCGAGCGTATTTAAGTAATAAATGATTTATTATGTGGTTAACCGAGCGACATTTTCCAGCAGAGCGATATTTAGTATGGATGGTTTATTATGAGTTAGCTGAGCGACATTTCTCAGGCGAGTGATATTTAGTAATAAAATGATTTATTGTGTGGTTAGCCGAGCGATAAGTAGACCCACCGTTGATTTAAAATGTATAAAGAAATATTTAAATTTTTGAAATGTAATTACTTTGTGATAAGGAAAGACCTTTATATACCTTTCATTATAATAATATAATGTAAAAATTCTTATTATGGCAGATATGACTCTGAGGTTACAACCATCAAGTTAGAATTTGATCTTAAATATAGATAAAAATTTCATGTCAATTTTTTTTTCTCGCTTAAAGGTTTGCAATGGGGGGGGGATGCCTTAGCCTGTAAGCCCATTCGCCATTATTTTTCAAAAATCACTTGTTCAACCATCAATGTTTTAAGTAAAACGTATGCAATCTTTCGAAGGAAAAAATTATTTTTTAATAAATGTAAGCCAACAGGTAAAATATTTCAAACTCACTTACCTTGTTTAAAAAAAATTATTTTACCCATCTGCCCTTTCATTTATTTAATTTCTTTGAAAATTTATTCGTTATAAAGCTCTAGGGGATTACTGGAACATCCATTAGTATTTGTGTGATTTTGCGCCTAATATCAAATATATATCTGCAAAAATAAAAAATTGACCTAACTTGCTAGATCATAACAAAAAAATGGGATGAGATATGGTTTAGGGTTGGTTAGTTTATATGTAAAAACTATATTAAAATAATTAAAAAGCTTTTAAAAAATGGGTTGTATAACATTAGCCTGTTTTTAACAATTCGTCAATTAATTTTAAAAATCCTATTTATTCAATAATTATCATATTGAAAGTCATGTAAAAGGCAAAAATGTGTTCACTCGGCATGCCTAAAATAATTTAAAATTTTAAAACTATTAAATGTTTATGGAATTCTTAAAAAGAATTTTATTTTAAGAATTTGTAAAAAAAAACTTGAATAAATTTGAATAGTGCAAAGGTGGCGGTATTTTCACGTTCTTCCCTGTAATGGGTGGCTATCATAACGTATATTTGAGTATTAAAAGCGCTATCAGCAAATCCCAATAATAAAGCGGTTACCGGAACTAAGACTAGGCTTAAAGTGCTATTTTTTTTTAAATTGAACATCATCAAATTAAACCAAACATTAATAATTCAAGTGACCAAAAATATCAAATAAATTTTTTATGAATTAATTTAAAAGCTCAAAAGAGACAAGTTGCATTGTATATGTAGAAAAAAATTGCATTAACCCATTAATGGTCAGGATTTTTCTAGTGGATAAAAATGCTCAATTTTTCCAAATTATATTGATTAATGCTCAAATATGATATTCTAAAAAAATCAGCCGAAAAAAATAATCCTAAATAGAAAATCTTGCCTGGTGCATATCTGCACCGTTAACCATTAAGAGGTTAAAAAAGATAAAAATTATGCATAATACTAAAAGATCAAAAAACAATAGAAATATTTATTATATAATAAAAACGAGAAAATGTTTATATATTATGAAAATCCTTGAAACATTTAGTATGAAGTGTGATTTGTCATGTTTGACACATATATTTTGAGTGCGTATGGCAATATCTGCATCTACGTCTTTTTCCATCTATAGATTTTGGATAAATAATATCCAGATGAATCAGTAGGGGTTTCGCTCTGTAATGCAAACTGGCTTGCGTGACCTGTACTTAAATTTTTTCAATTTTTATTGGTGTTCAAAGGAAGTAGTAACTTCTCGCCTAAATGCAAGCAATCTCTTCTCATCTCGATTCATGAATTGATGGTTATACATTATTAGACCTATTCATTTATTTTGCATAAATATTACTTTGATCTACAATTAGGGAATATAAGTGTTCGCCGAAAACTAAAAAATATATCTGATAGATCTTTACCATGCAAATTGTCTTCAAGTTTTATTATATCTTCATTTTCCGTTTCCCCATTGATAGGGATTGTAGAATATAACGTATCTGTTTTCTCCATTTTAAATGGCGAGAAATTACAGAATAGCTTCTTGTAGCAGATGGTTCTGGAATGTCGTTATCAAATGAATTATGAATATCCAATTCGCCAGCATTATCTGAAGGTAAAACTCCGTCATTTGTTAAGTCATTTTAGAAACGATTCTTAAAAATTTTAATTAAAAATTAAATATTTATTTTATAGAATCTAGATTTTTTAATTAGTCATCTATTATTTTGATTGAATTGACAACAGGTGCATAAGAAAAAAATGTTCAGCAAGGAAGAGGGTACAAAATAATTTAAAATTTTTATGAATAATTTTGATGAATAATTTCATATAATTAGGTCGAGATAAAAAATTATAAAAGAAACATATTATTCGATTCAGGGGGTTCAAAAATATTTTCAAGACCTTTTTTTGGGTAAATTTTTTTCCAAAACTTTCAGGGGGCTCGAGCCAACTCCCCCCCCCCCCATCCTTAGTAATGGTAATAGTTTTAAGTATAATATAAAATTTTAATTCATTATGTTAAATTTGATTTGTTTGAATTTTTTAAAATAATTTATACTGCTAGATGGTTAACGGTGCATATATGCACCAGTCAACTTTATATGGTTACCAATTAAAATTTTAATTATTTATTTCAAAAATGATTGACAAATATCGATATATCTACAAAAAAATATATACATTAGTTTTCATCAAAATAATTTCATAATATGCTTGTGAGATCACTTAGAAGACTGCATTATAAACCTCATAAATTCGCCATGTTTGAGGGCTTCTTAGGGACATAAAAAAAATTTTTTCATATTTTTCTTTTCCAGTTTTGAGGTACAATGTCTAAACTATATAAAAAACCTTTTTTATTGTTTTTTAAAATAAAAACTACTGTTTAAAAATGATATATAGGTGTATATATGCACCGTTAACCAGTAATAGGTTAAAATAAATTATTAGAGTGAGAAAATATGTAAATGGCATGAAAACAATAAATATCTTCTAGATAGCTGTAAAAAAAAAGTATAACTAAAAATTTTAATGGGATTTAATGAAATGTAAATACATAAAAAAATTTATTTGTTTATTAAAATATAAAAAAATAAAAAAAAACAATGGAAAATTTAAAACAGCATTGAATTAGGGTCATCATTGGTATCAGAAATAATTATTTTTCTTAAATTGAGAGCCGTATTGTCAAATTTTTATTTGTGATTTACGTAAGTGAATATGTAGAGATCGGAAAATTAATTTTAAAAATTTATGCTATTCTGTAATGGTACATATTAGACCTAGCAGTCAATAAATCTAGTCAGGTGAGAATTAGATGATAGAACAATCGATAGAAAGTATTAATAGTCGAAGGGTAAATGGGATACTAAATTTTCTAGCTTATGAATCCACATTTCAGCTTGTAATTTTGATGGTGTGAGTATTCAAAATCTCAGAGATTACATTTCCACAAGTTACATTGTTTTTTTATAAGACCTCGAGCATGTTTGTCATATAGATAAAAAAATCGGCGAAAAAAAACAATTATTGTTCTTTCATTATGATGTAGTTGGCATCCCTGATAAAAAGTGATGCAGAGGGGATCTGTTTTTTAGCTTGGAGTTGATATATAAAATAGGAAGCTCAATCATAGTGAGATAGATTATAGTGAACTTACTAAAAGTTGATTATAAAATTGTTGAATTTGAGTAGTTTTAATAAGATTAACAGAAGGGACTAACGCCGAAATCTCAATCTTTTTGGGCAAAAGAAATAGGTCTAGCGTGAAATACGGCGCAAGAGAATTATTTGTATTCTTTAGAAAAAAACCAGTTAGTTATCTCAAGCAAGTTAGAGAGTTGAATAAAAATGGTTTATTTGCTTCAAAAATATTCTGGATTAAGCTTGAATTCGGTTAGCTTCTTTCATTGTCTTGAAAAAATTCCTTTGCCCTCTTGGAAATTCTTTGGTTAATTGAAGCTTCAATAAAATTATGTGGAATCTGGATATTAAGACAAAGGAATAGTTTGTCCTTATATTTATATAATTTTATAGTAGATTATTCCTGCATACGCCCTCTCAAAATCATGCCTTCTGCCCCAATTGACGAAGGAGCAACAACTTTCAAGGAGTCATTGTCATAGAAAATATTCTATAGATGTTTGCAGTAATCGGGCCTTCAAATTTTCAAGAAAGAAGGCATCGAGATGCAAGTAAATAACCTAAGATCCAGTCGCGAAATGATAATTATATTAATGCATATCATAGGTGTGAACAGATTTTATGTTTTCCAATAACTTTTCATTATATAATATAATATATAAATTGTTTAATTTTTTCTGAAAGAAAATTGTAATTAAAAAAATATATAAGTTTGCCAAAAATTATGAATGTAAAACTGCTGTAATTTTTTTTAATTATAAAAATCATGTCGTTTGGAAAAAAATTATCGCGTACAGTCTATTCATCTCATTAAATAATTATTTACGAATATTCACATTTCAAGTTTATACGATAATTAAAAATATGATAGTCTGTTATGTAAAATATAATAAGCCAATCTTTTATGGGATGGATAGGCTCTTTTCAAATTTCATTATTTTGGCTTTTACGATATTTTATTACCAAATTATGTAACAATAGCATTATTATAAAAATAAATCATATATAAAAAAAAAATATTTTTATTGTTCAAAGTTATTCAAAATTTACTCATAATTTAGGTATACACCAAGTGTTGAAGGCTGAATGGGAGAATCCTTAGGCAAGATTAAATACAAAGTAAAGTAAGATAATATATTAAGGAGATATCCGCTGGTTATTATCGTAGAACATCGACTTAAACCCTTTTGATTAGTAATTTGAAAGCTATTGTTTACCCTTCTACGACTCGCTAAAAATGATTCTAAAACGCCAAAATTGAGTCCACCTATAGATATCAATGTTAATTTAGGATAAAATAATTTGAAAATTTTTTAAAATATTATTTAAAAAATTATGTCTTATGAAAATGACTTGATTAATTAGGGATATCAAATTGAAATTTGTATACTATCTGGTGGCGGAGAATAAACATATTATTTATTATGTGTAAATACCTTAAAAGTGGTCAATAATTATTATTATTATATAGGAAAGGGTTCCGCTAAGGATAAAATTATTAAATATAATTCTTGGAAAATGAAAAAAATAACTTCAATAATATATTCTATTGGATAATTTAATGAGAACAAAATAATATAGTAAGTTAGAAAAATTATTAAATCCTTATAGGCCTCCCTAACATATAAAAATGTAAATTTGTTGTATGAATGTAAGAAAAGAAAGACAAATTAGGATTCTTTAAATTTTTTCTAAATTTATATTCAAAAGGGGAAATAATAACATTTACATTATTATTACCTAAAATTTCACCCACTCCTAGCAATATTCCACAAATTCCCATAAGTGATTTGGATTGATCGCCAAATCTTGTTGTATAACCTATGCAGGTCGTTAAAACTCCGCTTATAAAAGTTATTTCCAAACCTAAATTGATAAAAAAGGGATTATTATTCCCCTTATAATATTTCTCATATAAATTTTTTTTATATTGAATGTCATTTTTAGCCCACAAGCCCGCCCTTCCAATATTTTTAAAAACCCACCCGCTCAACACGCCTATAGTTTAAAAAATATTCCCCCCCCCCCATTAGTCTTAAATTTTACCTATCCGATCTATAAATTTTTTTTAACCCGTCGATATAAAATTTAAATAAACTCATTTTCAATTTTTTTAAGTAACTTATAGAATATGATATAGGCATCCCTAGAAAAAGGTATATAATTTAGGCATTTGCTAGATTAAGCAGAGACCTGCACTGTAGCAAGACTAGGCCAGGATTTTTTTTCCAAAAAATATTTTATTTATTTTATATTTTTATAGCTGATAATGGCGATTTAAAATATACATCCGATCCGGGAATTTAAAAGAAATCAGGTCTGACCCGGGTATGATTTATAAAAATTAAAGTACGGTCTGGTCTGAAATAAATTTATTTGATCTAATATGTGATGTTTGGGGATATTAAATTATAATATAGTTGATAGTATAATTATAATATAGTCATTAAAAGAAGTTAATTGTAGTTATTTGTTTTAAATAGGATTAGTGTACAGTATATTATTATTATTATTTTAATTCAATATTATATTATTTTGCGCAATCGTTTTGTTAAAAAAAAAATAATTATTATATTATTAGTATTATTATTATTATTGAGTTGTATTGTCAATATAAAAAGAAAAGAAAAATAATAAAAAGTCAGTTATCGGGTTTTTGGAAAAATTTTTGTTATTAATTCTGGGAAGAAAATTTGTTGTTGATTTTTTTTGGTTGAGAGAAGTTATTGAAAAAGAAAAATTGGTGTATGTTTTAAAAAAGAAGAAATTAAAGTAAGACAAAAAAATAATAAATATATTTGTTGTAAAAAGTAAAATAAAAATAAATTAAAAGTAACCGACCAATTTTCATCTTGTAATATTTCTATAACTAGTAGAAATATTAAATAATAAATGAAATAATATAAAATTAATATATATTGATACTAATAACCTTCCAGCAATGCTAATTTCTCGTTCAGAAGAAGCACTGTTTTCTGGAATTGCCAATATTTTTATAGCTAATTTTGATAAATCATTTTCTTGTCGTTTCCATCAAAGTAGAGTAGGATATCTATGTGAAGTATATCCTCTACTCAAGCGAGATATTTAAAAAGTGAAACCATAAATAATAAATAAATAAAAAAGTAATATAAGTTAATTGTTTAAAATTGTAAACTAAACTAAGTAGCCTAAAATCTTGCTAAATTATAAAAACTGGTTACTCCGTAAGAGCCACATCTTCCATTTTTTGTTGTTTAATTTTGACGTGGATGCTATCTATTTCAAACATTGCATTTATAATTTAATAATCTTTAATTAAATTCTCGTTGCTTTTAGGGAAACGGGTAAAATATACACGTTACGTTGATGTTATATGCTAAGATGCAAATCAAATCCAAGATGTTTTCGATATATTTTTTACCTAATTGATTTCTTCCAACGAAAACATCCTCAGTTATCGGTACAGCCCGCCTACCCATAGTTTAAATATATTTCTTACCCCACCCTCTCTTTAAAAAATTTAAACGCGTTCACCCGCCCACTTAGATGGATGGGCGTTAGCGCAGATCTCGAATCCCGATTCTAAGCAGCTATATTTTTTTAACCCTTTGAGGGGCAAGATGCATTTATGAAACTATCATTTTGAAATCATATTTCTGTTACCACTAGAGGGAGCTACTTCACCTGAACCAAAATATTAAAATTAAATATATATTTAATCATTCAAATTTGCTACACAAGTTATATAATTTTATATTTGAAACTGGAGTTAATCATATATGATAATTATTATTTTTAAATTTGCCAATGTTAAAATTAGGGCAATATAATTATTTTATTTGATGATTAAAACATATTTATTAAGAATGAGGGGCAATCAATCGTTCACTTTTATTTAATCATTTTTCTTAAATTGCTAAACATCCTGATATAGCTGGGGTAATGGAAGGGAGTAAAAAACCGGGCTTCTCGAGAGAAAAATATTTAAAAAATCACGCAGAAAGTGATGCTTCTCTTGTTTTATCAAAAAATAAATTAATTAGAATCTATTGTGATGAAGGATAAAAACTATCGGTGATTTTAAAACTATCGGTGATTTTTATTTCATTTACTAAAAATATATTTTATTTTTGGCTCGGGCCAAAAAATTGAATTTGTGTGCTTCCTTGTTTTTTTTTGCAAGCTCATATTAAATTAGCGATGGATTTAGTAATTAAATAATTTATCAAAATTGTTTGTTTTCCATATTTTATTTTAATATTAAGTGATTTTTTAAAGAAAAAAACACAATACTATATGCTTCTGTTCAATTTCAAAGCCCTCTTGCATTAAAAATCAATTATAATTAATTATAAAGGGATAAAAATATTATCTACTGATTTCTAGTTTCTTTCTCTCCACACCTATAATTCAATTCTCTCTATTTTCTATTTAATATATTTGGTGTTTGTTATTCTTGTTGATATAATGAATGAATATCTCCCCCAGTGGCGTAGACAAGGGCCCCCCCCCCCCCATGGAAAAAAATTTTTTTTTTAATTTTTTTTTTTTATAAAATAAAAAATTATTTTTTTTTTATTGCGAATAATTATATTTAAAAAACGGTTTCAATTTAGAGAAATAAGATAATATATTATATATAATACAATATGAATATCACAATGAAATATATTTATAAAAAAAGGAGTTTTAATTTTAAATGATCACATCGTTTAAAAATATATATAAATTATATGAACTAAAATAAAATAACAATAAAAGAATAAAGATATATTGTATGTAAATAATTTCTGGCATAGTAAAATTTATTAAATAACAATAAAGATATTTTGTAAATATTTTCTGGCTTGGCATAGTTAAATTAGATATTTATAAATTTAATTATTAAATATATATTTTTAAACTATATAGATAGTTTGTAAATTTTAATTTTTTATAATTTTTAAATATGGATATCCGTAAGTTTTTTTGTCAACAACAAAAAGAAAAAGGTATATAAAAATTTAAGTTGTGTAATTTGAATTAGAAATATATATAGATGTTGCTCTTGCTGGTTTTCGTTGTATCCTCAGATGACGAAGGTAATGGTATTATTTATAATATCTTTTATTTAAATCTTGCAATTAGAAAGACCAGACATACCATTACCACTCCATGGGACAACTACCTAAAGCTTTTTGAAAGCTCCTCTAAAAATGCTACTTACCTAAGTCCCACTATTCAAAACGAAATAATATCAATATGCAATCAGTTTATATTAAAGGAAGTTTCTTCAAAAGTCAAAGCATCACCATTTTTTAGTGTTTTGGCGGATGAAACTTCCGATATTGGTAATATTGAACAACTATCCATAGCAATAAGGTTTATTGATATGGAATCAGGTAATTATAAAATGAAGGAACTATTTGTTCAATTTATTGAATTACCTAACACTAAGTCAGAAACAATTGCTAATCAAATTATTAAATCACTTCAAAACCTGGATTTAAATTTAAATCTACTGAGAGGCCAAGGTACGATGGAGCTCCCTCGATGAGTGGCCATGTTAAAGGGGTCCAGTCAAGAATTAGAGAGCTTTATAGCACAGCTCTTTATGTTCACTGCAGTTAACATTGCCTGAATTTGATGATAACTGAGGCATGTGAAATTAGAGACATCCGGAACAGTTTACGTAAAGATTTTGATTTAATTGAAATTTATTAGATTTTATTATGTATTATAGATATCTTTATATATTTTTCAAAATTTAGAAACAATATCGTCGGTTTGTGACTTCTTTACCCCACCCAAGAAGAGGGAGATTTTTACCCAAACGTTCGATGAAATTGATTAGAAAAATTCAAAAAAAAATTAAAAAGATTTTGTCCCACAAGATTCATTGAAAGACAACAATCGGTGAAGGTTTTCATCGAGTTATATGAGGTTATTTTTGCGGCACTGGAATCATACATATTACGCAAAGAAAAAGATTCCGCAGATGCGGAAAATCTTTTACAGGCTATTACGAAGTCTCAATTTTTAATTTCAATTCAATGTGTTTATTTTTTATTTAATTATACATATGATTTTAGCAAAATGTTACAAAAAATTCATTTGGATTTAAGGGAGGTTATGAATAGGGCAAAGGATATTGTTGAAATATTAACAAATATCAGAGATAATGTGGATGAAAAATTTCACGAAATATATGAGAAAGTAAAGGAGATCGCTAATATGTTTGGGATTGAAATTTTTAAACCTAGAGTAGTTTCTAGACAATCCAATCGCTCAAATATTGATGCATCTACGATTGAGGATTTTTATAAAATTAACATTTTTATTCCACTTTTTGATACATTTTTATTTCAATTAAAGGAAAGATTTATAAGTCACAATTTTATTTTAAAAATCTTTTATTTTCTTTTGCCGGTTGAGTCTGAATTGTTGATTACACTTGAAACGCGAGAGGATATTAAGAACATCTCAGAGTTTTATTCTGATGATTTATTAAGGTCGTATGATAAGTTACTTTGTGATGTCGAATTTTGGTATAAAAATCTTGGCAGAATAGAGTACTCTTTGAGACCAAAAAATGCTTTGCAGGCCCTTTCCATGTGTAATTGCACTTTAGATTCCCTGCCCAATATCAAAACATTGTTTTTTATTTTAGCTACTTTACCGATTAGTACCTGCACTAATGAAAGGTCTTTTTCAACTTTGAAAAGGTTAAAAACCTATTTAAGAAATAGCACCGGTGAAAACCGTTTAAATGGATTAACCCTATTAAATATTTATAAGGAGATTATTCTAGCTAAAAATTTGATTCTAGATGAATTAGCCAAATCTCAGAGAAAAGTAGACCTCTCTTTATAAATTTAAATCATATAATTGTAATATTTTCTTAGTCATAAAATTTTTATATGAATTATAATGAATTTTTAGTCATGATATTTTTATACTATATTTAATAATAGTATTGCACCTACAATAAGAATTATTTATATAATATACTCATTTGTATTAAATATAACTGTTAAATTATATTTTTTTAAATTGCATACAAGAATTAATTATATTTTATTGTAATTTTATAGATATTTACAATCAATTTTTAAAATAGTAATCTGTATAAAATTTATATATTTTGAAATTTATTTTTTTATATATTATTAAAATAAATACATAGTTAAATAAATAAAGTTAATAATAAATAAAATCTCTGCAAAATATTGTTATATGCAAAAATTTAATTAAAATAATTATTTTTAACATAGAATAAGATATATTGAGTTGATCATAAAATTGGAAGGTTTGGAGGGAGGCAAATTTTTTTTACATCGAATTACAATTTACTAAACATTGATAACATTTTCAAAATAATGCTTTCAGTCGCTTATTAATTATAAATTTGGCAAAAATTTTAATTCTAATATTTTTTAATATTTATGCTGGCCTGGGTATAATACACAAAATATTGGCAAATTTTGATAAGGGGTTTGGGGGCGAAGCCCCCAAAAAATTTTTCAACCCCCCCCCCCCCCCCCATGGATTAATCCTGGCTACGCCACTGATCTCCCCCATTGTAATGACTTATTTTCTTGACAATTTGAATGAATTACCACAACTCCTTTTATTATAGGATCTAAAAAGGTTAGCATATCATTTTCCACAAAATTGCTAAAAAAAACGTCGCGTTTTGACATTTTTAAAACTCTAAAAAGCGCCACTCATTCTATTAAATAAAATTACATATATTATTAAAGAATATATTGAATTTAATATTCCCAATTTTTTTAGAATTTGAATGAGTCGTTTTAAAAAATGAGATAAAGAATACCAAAATTTAACAAAAAAAATAACTCAAAACGGGCTAGATAAATTCTCTCTATGTCCGACGTTAATCTTTTTTTCAAAATAATAAATTATAATGCAAAAAACACGTATACATTCAGGTCATTTTTTTTAAATTATAGTATTATAAATTGAAATATAAATGTAGAATCCAAAATATATTAATTTTGTGACCCGAATTAGAGAAAATAAAATCATCTGTTTCACCCTATTTTATTAAAACAAGCAACATTGATAACTGGAAAATGAAGATGAAATAACATTTTTTGAAGATGATATAATAAGTAGAAGATATCGATTCCAATTTCATCAAGCTAAAATAATTATGATGTTTATACGATATTTTTCGCAGATATCTTAAAGTACCTCCACATCTCCAAGGAAATTCCTTCAAAATTTTTTCCAAAATCAATAATTAAAAAAGAAAATTAATTATTTGAAATTGTTCCATATTTTTGCCCTATTAAATAATATACGATAATAATATTTCTGTCTTTGATATAACTCTAAAATAAAATTACATGTAAATTATTCGATATAATATCATTATTTCGATAGTTCTAAAAAAATAGTTAATAAAAATATATACTTAAGTAAAAAAAATTGCATTAGTAAAAGTTGTTATAATATTTACAGTGGTGTAGACAAGGGAAATTTTAATTTTTATATAAAACGGAAAAAAATAACATGTACGATATCAAAATGAAAATAATTAAAAAAACATAAGAATTTTCAATTTTAAATGATCACATGGCTTAAATTAAAAATTAATGAACTAAAATATTAAATAACAGGTGGGGAGGAGCTATAAAGATATATTGTAAATATTTTCTGGCATAATTGAGCTGAGGATGGAGAAAAAATATGATCTGCATATCTCGAAAGATATTTTTTGAAAAACAATTATAAATTTAATAATATAATTTATATTGTTAAACAAATTAGATTTTAAAAATTTTAATTAATTTTTTATAATTTTTAATTTAAAAAAAATCGTTTAATTTGGTAAAAAACAGCAAACTTTTATTTTCTTTTGCCGGTTGAGTCTGAATTGTTGATTACATTTGAAATGTAAGAGGATATTATGAAAATCTCAGGTTTTACTCTGATGATTTATCAGGATAGGTGATAAGTTATTTAGTGATGTCGAATTTTGATATAAAAATCTTGACAATAGAGTGCTCTTTGAGACCTAAAAATGCTTTGCAGGACTTTTCCGTTTAATTTCACTTTAGATTCCCTGCCTAATATCAAAACATTGTTTTTTTTTATTTTAGCTACCTAACCGATTAGTACCTGCACTAATGAAAAAATTTTTTCAACCTTGAAAAGGTTAAAAATCTATTTAAGAAATACCGGTGAACACCGTTTAAATGGATTAGCCCTATTAAATATTTATAAGATTATTCTAGATAAAAATTTGATTCAAGATAATTAGGCAAAATCAGAGAAAAGTAGATCTCTCTTTATAAATTCAAATCATAAAAGTGCAATATGATCATAATATAGTTAAAAAAAATTTATATGAAAAACTTTATAATAAATTCTTAGTCATAATATTTATATATTTTTATATTATACTATTTTTAATAAAAGTATTGCATTTGCAATAAGAGTTATTTACATTTTGATAATATAATTATTTGCATTAATTATAATTGTTAAATTATATTTTTTTAAATACCGTTATGTGCAACAAGAATTACTTATAATTTATTGTATTTATATTTTTTTTAAAATACAGTTATTTATAAAAAATTTTAATATAATAATCTGTATAAAATTTATACATTTTGAAATTTATTTTATTGTATATTATCATTAAAATAAATACATAGTTAAATAAAGGGATGTTATTTATACTAAAGTATTTTAATAATAAATAAAATCTATGTAAAATTTTGTTAAAATATTATTTTTTAACAGAGAATAGAGAGAAGAGTGGAGAGGAATATTGAGTGATTATAAAAATGGGAGGTTTGGGAGGGAGGGGTGGGGGACTATATTTATTTCTACACCAAATGGAATGAATTAATTTACAATTGAACATTAAACATTGATAAAATTTCCAGAATAATGCTTTCAGTTGCCTACTAATCATAAATTCAAAATTTTGTTATTAATATTTTTCATTTATGCTGGCTACTTAAGTTGTGAGACACTTAAGCCCAAAATATTAGCAAATTTTAGAATTAGAATTTCCAATTGTTCAGCCAATGTTATCAAAGATGATATAAAGATAACTAGTGAAAAATAAATATTATATAATATTTTTTAGGAACCTGGCTAAAGACCAGAGGAAAAGGAGATAAAAATTACCCCCCCCCCATGGATAAATCCTGGCTACGTCACTGACTATCTATAAAAATGGAGTTGGAAAACTAGCATGCTACCTTTTCACCAAATAGCCATTGTGCTAGTACACTATTTAAAAAAATATAATAAATATAACTATAAACACCAAAATTAAACATACAATTTTACAATTAATTATAAATTATAATTTTTACATTTTATTATTTAATTTTGAAAATAAAATTTATATATTATAAATCCAAAACTAGTGTAAATTTTTTAAAGTGTATGCAAATGGATATCAATGTAAATGAGTCAGACACAGATAATATTAACTAAATTACACTGGAAGAATACGATTGTGTTGATAATAATTTTCTCTCTCCAAAATTTGAAAAATATTTTCAACTTTATGGGAAAACAAAAGTTGGCTATAAATTGTATAAAAGCAACAAAATTATAATCCTTCAAATATAACCAGAAACATGTAAAGGTATTATTTATTTTTGAATTCAAATATTTTTATTTTTTTAGAATGTTCATGCCAATAATAAAGAGATAATAAGACAACAAAAAAACGAATTTAATTCCAAATACATGAGCAATCCTAATATACCTTCAGATGTTTTTCAAAATTGATACACTTAATGTCTTTGGATGAAAATCCATCATTTTTTTTATGATTAAAACTTAATCTATTGATTCAAAGATTTTCAAGAAAATTATTTCTATTATCTTAATTTTAATCATTTTTTTATATAAATTCTTTTATAATCAATATCTATGTTAAAATATTTATAAATCCTGATTTATATATATAATTAAATTATAAACAAAAATAAAACTAATTTATTTGTAATTTTTTTAAAAATGAAGCCTATCTTTTAAAAATGAAGCCTATCTTTTAAAAATGAAGCCTATCTTTTAAAATGGAGGCTAATAATGGCTTTTTTTGATAAGTAGGGGTAGCACCAGGCACATAATCAAATTTTTTACAAGTATATTTCAATTTTTTTTAATTATCTTTTTTTATATACAATCATTATTTTTTAAAATATTTTTAACACCCCTTCAATTATACTTTATATTAATTGATAAATAAGGTTTTAATTTTAAATATTATTTATTTTAATAGAATATGTTTCATAAATTTGTTCTAATTCAAATTTTAAAAAAAAATATTAAAAAAATATATGATTCATTTAAAAATTCAAAACTTATAAAAACCTGAACAAATAACAAATATTTTCAAAAATAACTGGAATGAAACTAAACCATTTTAAAGGCACCTCTACAATTAACTATAAGGTGTGTGGACTATATATGGATATTAAGTGGAATGAAACTAAATCATTTTAAAGGCACCTCTGCATTTAATTATAAGGTGTGTGGATTTTATATGGATATATATTTATATAATTTAACCTGTGAATGCAAAGGAAAATGTTAGAAGTAAGATATTAACATCCTTGAGTAATTTAAATGAGGTAAGAAGTGTTTTAGACAGAGTATTTCTATTATCTACCATAAAAACGTTTGACTTTTGTTGATCTAATATAATATTTTGGCTAAAAAAGAAAAATTTAATTGAAAATATGTTAGGACTTTTTTCGATAGACAATAAAAATAAATTTTTCTAGTACATATTTATAAATGAAACCTGCAGAGGTATTTGCATGGCCCAGTCTGGATTTTTTTTTTATAAAAATGTTTGGCCTGGCCAGGATTTAAATATTATATTTGTTTTATATAATTAATAATGGCTTTTTAAATTATTTAGTTTTAATATATATGGTGCAGCCTAGTCCAAGTATTTTTTTAAAAATTTTTTTAGACCAGGTATTTAAAATTTTTTTTAGGCCAAACTCTGCTGTAAAACAATTAAAATATGGCTGGCCCATGTACCCAGGCCTGCAGGTGTCTGGTATATAATGCATTATGACATAATGTCCATAGACAAAATACATAAGATGCCAAGAACAAAAAGCCCTGCAAATAAATAAATATTTCTTTTAAATTTATTGTCCATCTATATGATTTTTTTAATCAAATCATTCAAATTTAGGGAATTTTCTTCATGAATAGAAAATATGTAACAAAATTACTTGTTTAAATAACTACTAGTGCCAATTTCATATTCATTTTCCAAAAATTCAACCCTTTTATTAATTTTTTTATCATTCTTGACTTCTATTTGTGGAATTTCATGATGGGTTAGGCTACTTGAATACAATTTTTCCATATCTCCTTTAATTAGGGCAGTCCTTTCAGATTCATTGATTGAGGTATAATTATTGGTACTAATATTATCATTTATTATATCAATATGATTTAGTTTGTTTTCATAGGCTACATTTTTAAGGCATGTTATTAACATAAGTACACCTGTACAACATAAAACTAGTAAAATAGTAAACAAAGCTGAGTAGGCTTCTTGATCTAAATTTGTCATCCCTTTAAACTTTACAAACATTATCGTATTTCCAACTACATAACTTTTATTGTTTTTTTTAAATAAAATGTAATATACACTTTAAAATTACCTTGTTTGAAAAAGTGCCCAAAATATTCCTGTATTTCTTGATATATTAGATTGATCAGAAATAATAGTTAAAAAATTTCCTTGAGCTGTCCATAATACTAAATCACAAATAAAATATATTTGTGAGTTAAAATAAAATTGTTACTAGCTGCTCCTAACCCTAAAAGAGCAGATGTTACATATAATGACCATAATCTTGGATTTAAAAAAGAACCAATGAAAATGCTAAGCAATAATAAAGGTTTATAAGGGAATTTTTTTTACCAATAGGTAGAAGCTCCAAGAATTAAAGATATTTTAGGGCCAAGGAATGTTACAACTGGGGCAGCGAACCAATTACACAATGCAAAGGATCCATAAATAATTGATAAGCTATATTTTAATAAATTAAATATAAATAAAAAGAGCTACCTTTTATATCCGCTACCTTGGAATATTTTTAAGCTAGTGCTTTCCAAAACAACTTCCTACGATATATATTCATATAAAATAAAATGACAATTTGAACTTGTATCATTTCACAAGTTTGAAACGCACTGAAAATAAATAGGAACGACACGCCAAGCATAAATACATTAATAAGTTTAAAATTTATATTGGATACAGAGACAAGCTCCATTAAAGCGCTAAAATTAATTTATCAGAAAATAAAATGCTATTTCAGCTGTCATACAGAAAACGAATAAGACTAATTATAATAAATGACGATGATTGTCATACAAAATATATATAGAAATATGAGTAGCATTGACCATTTTCCGAGGTATAAGATAATAATTTAATTCATTATATTAAAAACCTTCAAAACCAAGTTAATTTCTATTTTTGTGCAAGAACTTTTTGTTCCGTTTTTAATAGCGTAACAAGTACCCTCCTTAAAGAAAAAAGTGGCTATTAGAAATAAATCTGTTATAGTTTAAGAGTTAAACTGGTCAATTGCCCAAATTCCAACCAAACAAAGTGGTTTGGGGTTATATCATGCTAGCCTTCTTCAATGTGACTAATTTATAAGCAAGATTGTTAGAGGTAATGATATTCTATTTGAAATGCCTATGATTTATGGAGGAAAAATTTTAACTTTTATCGTCATAATAGTACTCTGCACAGGAAACTTTATTAACCCTCTTCTGGCTAACTTTAAAAAATTGGTTGTGTTTAATCTAATGACATATAATAAGACCTAGACTGTAGACTGACAATTCATTGATAAAAGTATGTATCAATGTATGTATCAATGCAAATCAGCTGGAGACGCCACATGTTTATTACCTGCATGGTAAAATTTGTAATATAAAAAATATGAAAAACTATGGCAATGACTTCAAAATCAATTTTTCAAAAGACATTTTTATGATTATAAATATTCTGGAAACATGAATTTTTTATTATATTAATATTAATAAATCTTATATATTTTGATAAAAATTATATATTATCTAATAAATTTGCTTTTAGTTATTTGTTTTTATGATACCATATTATAAGGTAATAAAACTGAATTATCAGAAATTTTGAATCATGATGAAATTACAAAAGACCATCTAGCTTTAACATATCCAAACTTAAATTATATCTTTAAAGCATTCAAGCAAAATAAATAATATACATTTTGCAAAGTAATGGTTAAACCTTTATTAAGAAAAACCCAGAAAATATTTTAAAGCCAAATAAAATTTAGAAATCTTCACTTCTAGGTATTCTTTCGAAATTATGGAAAAAATAAAATATATTATAATTTTCATAGATAGATTTAATGTTCTCTTAATAATATAAAAATTTATTGTCTTCTATCTTAAAAGTAGTACTTTTATTTTGCATATATAAAATAAATGCTTAGGTTCACATATATCTATATTATAATTTTCCGATGTCCACACTACGTCATCGTGACGTCATGTCATCGCTACATATTTTATATTTTTTATTTGTTGATTTTATTTATTTATTTTATACAAACAGATGATCCTATAACTTAATTTTTTATGCAACTGTAGGAGGCCATATTAAAACCAATTGTCAAAATAATACATTAATTACTAAATATTACAAATTATTAGTATTTTATATAGAAATTCAATTTACTTATGAGGTTGGCTTGAGAAAATCTTTTAAAATTATTAAGATCTTGGATGCTTGGAAAAAGTAATACATTATTTACAAATTATTAATATTCATTGGGATTTTTAATGTTAAATGTTAGTCTTATGTTAATATACATTAAATATATCTATTTACATAATATTACAAATTATTAATATTTTATATAGAAATTCAATTTAACTTGTACGCCAGAGATTTTTTCTCCATAACTTATTTTTTGAAGTTATCTCCAATAATACGAGGTAATATTTTTTATTTCTTATTATAATATTAGGGCAGACCTTATTTTGTCATTATTCTCTAATAAGTGGTTTGCTCAGGCTTTTTTCTTATTCATTAATTATAAATTTAATATCTCTAGGCTTGGGAAAATTTTTTAAAAATTATTATGGGTTGGACTGGGCTTGAAAAATATTTCTTGAAATTAATATTGGCTTGGTTTTCAAAATTATTAGGGATTGAAATGGGCTTGAGAAAATCTTTTTAAATTATTAAGATCTTGAATGCTTATAAATTTTTTTTCCAAATATTGTGGGCTTGAACCTAGATTGGGATTTTTGATGTTAAATATTGGTCCTATGTTATTATTTTTATTAATAAATATATTTTACCCGTAGACTAATTGGTAAATCAGAGATTTCCCCTTCATTAATTAAAAATTTAATATCTCTGGGCTTGGTTAATATTGACCCATCTACTGGTTTACATGATTTTCATGTTTGTTTAATTTCAACAATAGTTTATTTATATTTTGGCCTGATTTCTTTATTTGTCTAGGCTAACCTAACCTTAATCCCTCACATTGCTACAAAACATGATGAATCTATTAAAGATAAGCAAAGAAAATAATGACGAATAAACAAACGCCTTGCACGTTCTAAAGTTACTGGTAGCCATAATAATAAAGAACTGCACTTGAAATTAACTCCTCTGGAGGTTTTTTTTGTTTTTTTTATCTTATGTTTTATATTTATATGTTTATTTTATTTTCACCCAGTTGCCTCCAAATGATATTTCTATCACCACTACCACAATCCCTATGGCACCTCTGCCTATTTTTTTAACAAATATAAGCATTCAATTCCATACTATCATTCACTTTACTAGGAGTTATTATAAATATTACTTTATCAGATTCTCTGAGAAACTTTCATGAATATTTAGAGGAATGTTCAAACTTGAATGTGCAGTACGGCCATTTTCATCAACTTTATTAATGGAAAAATGTATCCTTTATAACAATTCTTACTACCTTTTTATGGTTGAGTTAACATTGTCCTTCATGATTCTATTTTAGAGGGGGCTATCAATGCTAACATTGACAGAAATATCATTTTGCGTTCTTCTTTTACAAGTATCCCAACCCCAAGGCATAGGAATATGCCTCATCTTTATCAGGAAGTAATGTGTTTTGTACACTGCTTTGGTAATCCGTCATTACTTTCATTTACAACCCTAAATGATATGAAATTGTACATTTATTATTTCCTCTTCAGACGACTGCCCAAATCTAATCTTACTTATGACACATTAACTCTGCCAAGAAAAGAACTTAGAGAAGAAATTGCGAAAGATCCAATTTTAAGAAGAGTAAAAATTTTGTCGCTTTTTCCATCAAAAATAAAAATGTCAACAAAGATTTTCTCTAAATTTTATCAAATACACAACATAATAATTATTCCTCTTTTTTTTAAAAAAAATTAGCCTAAATTTGTATGTAAATAAAAAAATATATAAATAATTTGCATATAAGTTTCCTTAGTGTTAATGGAATTTTTGTAATTTAAATAGATAGCATTTTTTTTACTTAACATAAAAATATAGACAAATAATTTGGGAAATGCAAGACATACATTAAATTTATCCGAAAAGCTACAATAACCCTATATAATAAACAACAATTTTTTTTTTATATAATTTTATTTGATCATATTACCAAAAAGTATAAGAGTCGGTTATTTTTATTTTATTTGTCATGATTCTCTAATAAGTGGTTTGCCCAGGCCTTCCCAATTTCCCTTAATTGGGAATTCACATGCTTTTTTTACATCTTAAACTAATTGGTAAATCAGATATTTCCTCTTCATGTGATGATAAACCAATTAAAAATTTACCTATCTCCGAGGTGGGAAAAAATTTTGAAAATTATACTTGGAACCTCAAAATTAATATTAGCTTGCACCTGACATGGGAATATCTTTTACAAATTATTAAGGTTAGCTGGCTTGATAAACTTTTTTATAATTATACGCTTCCTAATATTGTGAGCTTGGACCTGGCATGACATCTATCGTAAAAAATGAATAAAAATCTCATCCCCCGTCATTTTTGACGGGCTTTCTACTATTTCTTAATAATATAGCAATTTGTTTGTGCATATTATAAATATGTAGTATTTAATAAAGTATTATAGTTATTTTGTTTAATTTTCTAAGGGCCAATTTAAAATAATTTTAATATTATTTATAATATTTATTATAATAAATAAAATACTTATGAATTTGATATTTGAAGGAGTTGTGCTAATTGGACCTTATTAACTATTTAACCCATTTAGCAACCCTATCTTAGTTATGGAGAAAATTTAAAACATTTTTACTTTCATTACGATATCCGGTATAATTTTATCTCTTGGTATTTATTTTTCCAACTAGTTTTAAATTATTTATTATTTTTAATGTTTTTATCATTCCTTGTTTGTAATATTTATGTTTATTTTTAATAATAAATAACAATATTTAAAAGTATACAGTCACAATATAAAACTAATAATAATATATACTCCTAACAAAATATTATCAACATTTAAAAATATATAGTCACGATGTAAATCTAAAAATTTTACAATTAAATAAATTAATCTCAATTCAGTCACAATATATAAATTTATTTATTGGCTATTAAATAAAATTGTTTTGGTCAATTTATAATGAATATTGATATTATATTTTCCCTTTTGATTATCGCCATAATGATGAAATAGGATGTGTAAATAACGTTCATATTAATGTTATAAGAATTTAATAATGAGTGAATAGTGCTTCTTGATTATTTTAAAAATTTTAATATTAGGTAGACAAATTATCATCGTTTTAATGGCGTTTCCAGCTGATTTTAATTGATACATGCTAAAAAATACATTTTAATGAATGAATTGTCAGTCTAGTTATTATTATATGTTTTAATCCCTCTATTGAAAACATTCCAATCCTCAAATACTTCGTAAAATACTCGGATCGACTTGAACCTGTCCCAAGTATCAATCTTGATCATTTGCTATCCGATGAGGAGCTCAGTGTGACCACAGGATATAGACTAGGCGGTGACTTATGTCTAACCCATAATTGTTAAGGATATGACATAGGCGTAGCCAGGGGGGAGATAAGGACAAATATTCCTCCCCTTAAGAAATTTATCACTTTTTGTGAATATCATTGTAAGCTAATAAAAAAATCCCCCTTAGTACACTGCCCCCCCCCATACCCTGACCCTCAAAAATGTATGCATATATCAACAAAAATTTGAATGAAAGAATGTAAAAGTTGATATTTTTTTTATATAACTATTCATCATAATTTATACATTTTTGGAAAAAAGCATTTATATATATAAAAAGTGAACCAAAAATGTTTTTTAAGAAATGGAATATAAGCCAAAAATAAATCTTAAGACAAAATTGAAATGTATTATAATTATTAGTAATAGATTCATAAAATTACTAAATAATATAATATATCAAATATAAAATTTTATAGAGTGAGTAATTTTAATTTATTTATCTTAATAAAAGTAAAATATAATTTTAAAACTATTGATTAAATTAAATCATAAATTAATAATTAAATAAAAAAAATAAATCACAAACAGTGGAATATTATATGTCGTGGATTTACAGTATATCTAATTTTATCAATTATCATATGACAATCAAGTAATTTTTACCAATATAGCGAATTATATATTTTACATAAAACATTAAAATATTGATAAGGACATCAGAAAATATCTTTTAAAGAGATTATGGGATGAATATTATGAAGATTAATTTTTGATATCAATTTTATTTAAAGTAAATAGATGGCTTTAAAAAGTTGAATGCAAATTGTATTTATTATCAAGAGCATTGATTAGTAAAATTTGTTAAAATATTAACTGTAATATATTCTCTAACTGTCAAATATGTCTATAAAAATGGAATTTTACTTAGTATTTTGTAACTAATTCTAAATAATAGAGGAATATCAACTATACTAGTAGAAAGCCCGTCAAAAATGACGGGGAATGAGATTTTTATTCATTTTTTACGATAGATGTCATGCCAGGTCCATGCCGACAATATTAGGAAGCATCCAAGATCCTATAATTTTAAAAAGGTTTATCAAGCCCAGCTCAACCCTTGATAATTTGTAAAAGATATTCCCAAGTCAAGTGCAAGCTAATATTAATTTTGATGTTCCAAGCCCAGTCCTACCCATTATAATTTTGAAAATTTTTTCCCGCCTCGGAGATAGTTAAATTTTTAATATCATCACATAAACGGGAAATATCTGATTTACCAATTAGTCTAATATGGAAAAAAAACATGCAAATTCCTTATTAAGGGAAACTGGGAAGGCCTGGGCGACCACTTATTAGAGAATCATGACAAATAAAATAAAAATAACCGACTCTTATACTTTATTGTAATATGATCAATTAAAATTATATCTAAAAAATATGTTGTTTATTATATAGGGTTATTGTTGTTTTTCATATAAATTTATGTATGTCTTGCATTTCTGAAATTATTTGTCAAAGAATTTGATAAGGGATATATATTTTTTTATGTTAAGTAAAAAAAAATGCTGTCTATTTAAATTACAAAAATGCCCTTAAACACTAAGGAAACTTATATGCAAATTATATATATATTTTTTAAGAAAATATTTTTTATTGACATATAAATTTAGGCTAATTTTTTTTAAAAATAATGAGGAATAATTATTATGTTGTGTATTTGATAAAATTAAAAAAATCCTTGTTGACATTTTAATTTTTGATGGAAAAAGCGACAAAATAAATCTGGGCGGTCATCTGGAGAGGAAATAATTAATATATAATTTTATATCATTTAGGGTTGTAGATGAAAGTGATGACGGATTAACAAAGCAGTGTATAAAACACATTACGTCCTGATAAAGATTATATGCCTATGCCTTGGGATACTGGTAAAAGAAGAACGCAAAACGATATTTCTGTCAATGTCAGCATTGGTATTCCCCTCTAAAATAGAATCATGAACGACAGTGTTAACTCAACCATAAAACGGTCGTAAGTATTATTATAAAGGCCACGACAGAACTACTGCATATATTTCCATTAATAAAGTTGATGAAATTGGCCGTACTGTACATTCAAGTTTGAACACGCAAAACGATATTTCTGTCAATGTCAGCATTGGTACTCCCTTCTAAAATAAAATCATGAACGACAATGTTAACTCAACCATAAAACGGTCGTAAGTATTGTTTTAAAGGCCACGACAGAACTACTACATATTTTTCCATTAATAGAGTTGATGAAATTGGCCGTACTCTACATTCAAGTTTGAACATTCCTCTAAATATTCATGAAAGTTTCTCAGAGAATTGGATAAAGTAATATTTATATTAATTCCTAGTGAAGTGAATGATAGTACAGAATTAAATGTTTATATTTGTTAAAAAATAGGCGGAGCATAGGGATTGTGGTAGTGGTGATAGTATAATTTGGAGAACTGGGTGAAAATAAAATAAACATAGATATAAAACATAAGATAAACAAAATAAACCTCCAGATGAGTTCATTTCAAACGTAGTTCTTTATTATTTTGTCTACCAGTAACTCTTGAGCGTGTAAGGCGTTTGTTTAATCGTAATTATTTTCTTTGCTTATCTTTAATAATAGATTCATCATGTTTTGTAGCAATGTGAGGGATTAGGGTTAGCCTAGACAAATAAAGAAATCAGGCAAAAATATAAATAAACTATTGTTGAAATTAAACAAACATTAAAATAATGTAAAACCGGTAGATGGGTCATATTAGATGCATATTTCTAGTAGTTGGAGGGCTATCATCAAAAAAATTTTTTGGGGGACTTATCAATCCTATTACGATATTCTAAATAAAAAAAACATGTTGAATGTAATGTTATTAAGATTAAGGTTAATTAATTGTATGGTAATTAAAAAATAAGATTAAAAAAGGGGGGATAAGAAGGTATAAATTATTATATTATAAAAATAATAAAAATTAAATTAAAGGAATTGATAAGGTTTGGCTATCATCAAAATAAATTTTTGGGGGACTTATCAATCCTATTATGATATTCTAAAAGTTAAAATATAACATGATGAATGTAATGTTATTAAGATTAAGGTTAATTAATTGTAAGGTAATTAAAAAATAAGATTAAAAAAGGGGGGAAAAAAGAAGGTAATTATTATATTATAAAAATTCAATTAAAGGAATTGATAATGTTAATAGATAATAGAGATAGAAAGAAAAGAATGAGAAAATAAAATTTAGTGGTAAATAAATTCATTAAGGGAGGGGAAAAAAATAAAGAAAGAGTTATTTATAAGGATTGGAGATTATAAATAGGTTAGGATAAGAATATTTAAATATTTGAATATACTTGGTTATCTTCTTAATTATTGGTTATGAAAGAAAAATATGAGTATAAAAAATTGTAATGTAAGTACTGACAAAAATTATGAGTATGTGAAAAAATAAATATACAAGTTGAGTATCTTGTAGAGATTTCATTAATGTGTAATTGATAATATGAGATGAAAATTGATAAGGTAATCTAAAAAATAAAGAAAGGATTAAGTGAAATAAAAAGTTTTATTCATATTTACAAAGTTGAGGGAATATTGTTTTTATCAATTCAAAGAAGATTTTTCAAATCTCTCAATCCATGTTAGTTATGTGTACACCATCAATTCTCGAAATTCTATTCATCTATTTGTAAAAATAAATAAATAAAATCAACGAATAAATAAATACGTACCGATGACATGACGTAGTGAGGACATCGGAAAATTATAATATAGATGTCTACTTACTTTTTATAAATAAATTTCTTATACTTGTTTGGAATAAATTATTACCATGCTTTTATATTAATGTATATACAAGTAATTTATAATATTTTATATAAACTAATGTAAATATATTTCATATTTGTTCCAGGCTTATTTTTATTATTAAAATTAACCTAATATTTTATGACTATAGAAAGACTAAGGTAACCCGGCCGAAGGCCAGGAAAAAGCGGGCCAAAGGCTCGCCCAAACTAAGATCTGGGGGCGAAGTCCCCAGTAATTTTTTATCCCCCCACCCCTCTTTTAGGAAAATCCTGGTTACGCCTATGGATATGAGAAATATTTAGAATAGAGGGCCGACATGATCCAACCTGTTTATATTCTAAAAAACGGTTTGGTCGCCATATAATTATGGAAATGCGATATCAGTCATGAATATATTATTCACAGATTGAATTAAATTTTTATCAATAAATTGTCGATTTATTTTTTTTGGATATTCTTTCAATCTATTTTATTTTAATTATATATTATTAAATTATTTATACTTATTGGAATATTATCAGCATATATTAATTGGTGACTGAACTGTGTTCATCACCAACAGCAATCATTACTATATTCGCAAAAAATTAGTAGTCTATCCGAAACTTACAATTGGGTCGATATAATAGTAACGTGATATATTTTTACTATTAGCCTAGCTTTTGTTCAATTTATTCCTAGTTTTTGTTTAATTTATTCATATTTGTCGTTTATATAAAAGTTAACAAATATTTTTTTAAAATATACTTAAATTAAACAAAGCATTATAAAAAAAATAAGAAATAAAAATGAATAAAAAATTCTTGTTTTATATTTTTATTATCTGTGTTTATGATATTCTTGCGAAAAATATTTTAATTTTGGATAATTATTAAATTGATTGACTAAAATATATTTTTCGGACTTATATTTTTTGTAAATATAATGTCTTTGAATTCGTTTAAAAATTATATAAAACCATAGTATATATTTAAGAAATATAAATTAGAAATTTCAAAGTAAAATGTAAACGGTTAAATTGTGCTCGTGACTAGCGGATCTGAATTCTGATTAATTCGGGTTTAAAAGATAAAAAAATTTTTATATATAAATATTTTTCAAAATTTTTAACTAAGCAATCTTAAGTTAATTTAAAATTTTTGTAATACTAGTAGAAAGCCCGTCAAAAATGAAGGGGAATAAGATTTTTATATATTTTTTTACGATAGATGTCATGCCAGGTCCAAGCTTACAATATTAGGAAGCATCCAAGATTTTATCATTTCAAAAAAGTTTATCAAGCCCAGCTAAATCGTTAATAATTTGTAAAAGATATTCCCAAGTCAGGTGCAAGCTAATATTAATTTTGACGTTCCAAGCCCAGTCCTACCCATTATAATTTTGAAAATTTTTTCCCACCTCGGAGATAGTTAAATTTTTATTGATTTATCATCACATGAAGGGGAAATATCTGATTTACCAATTAGTCTATTATGCAAAAAAGAATGTGTGAATTCATAATAAGGGAAACTGGGGAAACCACTTATTAGAGAATCATGACAAAATCAGGTCTGCCCTAATATTATTATAAGAAATAACAAATATTACCTCGTATTATTGGAGATAACTCTAAAAATAAAGTTACGGAGAAAAATATGGAATGAAATTATGTTCACTGCAACAATTCTAACAATTTATTTTTTATAATGCTTAATGATTTTTCTACTTTTTTTGTACTATATGATCAAGGTAATAATTGTTGTATTATAATAAATATTTATTAATTATATAAAAAATAATTGATAAAAAAAATAATATTAAAAAAGAAATATATTATATTTTGTAAAAATCGGTGTTTATTGATTATTCTTTTTTTGGATGTAAAATCGCGAAAAATATATATAATAAAGAAAAATAAAGAAGTGTTAAAAAATATTTTGTATTTGACTCTAAAAAAATCTAAGAATAAAAAAGTATAGAAAATAAGTTAAGAAAAGTGGTGCCGTGTAAAAACGACACTGATAATTAATTTGGCATAACCAATTACTACCACTTATATGACGGCTAAAATTTAAAATAAAAAAAAAGGAAAAATTCATAATAATAAAAGGTAAAATATTTTTATTTGAATGTATTATATAACAATTTTATTAATAATAATAGCTTTAGCGTATTTTTTTTCATTTAGAATTATAAAGATTTATATAATAAATTTTTTTAATAAATTTATTATAATTACACAAAAATTTGAATAAATTGTAAGGTAAATTTAAAAAAAAAATTATGTTTAATAAAAAAGTGATAAAAGCTTATAATTATATTGAATCAGGAATTTGTCGCAATGTATTTATTTAATATTAGTTTTAAGTCTAATATTAAGTATTTATTTTTGGTATAAAAGAAGAAATTTTAATAGAGAGGCAAATAAAATAAGATTGTTAAAACAAATAGATAGAGAAAAAAATGAAAAATATGATAAAATGGAAAAGTTATATAATGAAATATGTTTGATGAAAAATGTGAAATAGTAAAAACAGATATCATTAGAGATACTGAAAAAAGAAAATTTGAAATTAATGATAATAAAACAGAGATCATTAGAGATTCTGAAAAAGAAAATGATGATATTGATATAGAAAATAGAAAAAAAGAGAGTGAAATTGAAAAAATGAGAAAAATAATGAGAGAAGAATGGTAAAATGAAAGAAAGGAGATTGAAGAATTGGAAAGAAAAAATAAAGAAAAATTGGATAAAATGGAATTTTTAAAAAAAGAAAAAGAAATATTAAGAGTAAAAATGACAGAAATGAAGATGAAGATAAAGATAAAAGAATTGGAGGAGAAGAATAAAGAAAAAGAATTAGAGCGAAATTATGGAAATAATTCAGGGGAAAATTTGGATAGAATGGAATATAGCAGGAATGTGGAATAGAACGGTCAAAATAGACCGTGTTATAATTGTGGAAAATATGGACATATAAGCAGAGAATGTAATGAAGGAATAAATAAGAAAATGTTACCCGTAGTTTGCAAAAGATGTGGAAACCGAGGACACAATGCTGAGGAATGTTATGTTCCGGCATATAAATTATTAAATGAAGAACAAAAAATTACAGCGGCGTGTGAAAATTGTAGAAAGTTTGGGCATAATCAGGATAAGTGTTATAAAAATCAACAGGGAAATTCCAAAGCATTTCCAGCGGTGGAATATAGAAAAAATGAAGGGAATAATATTTATGAAAAAAAGAAATGTAGAAGATATAACGTGTTTTAAATGTCGTAATATTGGTCATTATGCGAGAGATTGTACAGTAGGATGACTGTATGATAGTGAAATAAAAACATTTGGAGGAGTTACATCAAAAAATCAGTTGGATTAATTGAAGGAAAATATAGATAAAAATAAGGTAAATGATCACATTGAAATAGAAAGAAAAAATGAAGGAAATTTAAATAACATTTATGGGATTTGTAAAAATATGTTAGAAAATGAAACACGAAAGAATATACAAATTAGTATTTTACCTATTTTAAAGTTGGAAGATAATAAAAATTTTGATCAATGTCCAAGAGTAAAAGTGAATGTAGGAAATAAAGAAATTTTGATGTTATTGGATACAGAGGCAACAATATCTGTAATGGGGTATGATGATTACAAATTATGGCCGAATGAAACAATAATTAAAGATAAAACGAGAGTAAAACAATTGAATGGATCGGAAATTATGGTAATGGGAAAAGTAAATTTACCGGCAATAATAAATAACGAATTAATAAATTTGAATCTTTGGGTATTGAAAGAAAAAATTGATACAGTTTTGGGATGGAATTGGATATCAAATTTTGGATTAGAAAATATTTTGTTGAATATATTTCAAGGGAAAATTGATAATAAAAATATTGAAGGATTAAAAAAATCTGTAAAAGAGGTAGATGTAAAAAATTTGAGAAATAAATTAATGAAAAATGAAATTTTAGAGAATATTAAAATTGAGAGTATGATAAATAATAATCAAATAATTTGTGATAAAGGAGAAAATGAATTTTTAGAAAATAAAATACTAAAAGGTGGTGGAATTAAAAATATATTAAATAATTCAAGTTCAGAAAAATAAAAAAATTATGAGTAATAAAATGGGTCAGGAGAAACTTGATATTTTGGAAAATAAAATTAATATAAGTATAATACCTGATATGGAAATTAAAAAAAATATTGATGCAGAAATTAGTAATATTTCGGTTGATTTAGAAGTTGATGATATTTTGGAAAATCAAGAAATTAAAAAAAATATTGATATGGAAATTAATAATATTTCGGTTGATTTGAAAGTTGATAATATTTCGAAAATTAGTGACAAGGATTTTAAAGGAGAAATAAACAATGAATTAATTGTAGGGGAATCGATGTTGAAAAGTAATGATATAGGAAGAGATAAAAATTATAAAAAATCAGAAAAATCAGAATTAGATTTTGAGAGGATATTAGAAAATAATAATAATACCCAAAAGTATTTAGATGGTAAGCAATTAGAAAAAAAGTTTGAAAGATATAAATGTCCTGTGTTGGAAATTATACCAGCGAAATTGGTGAGAAAAAAAATGGAAGATGATATAGTATTGGAAAATATTGAGGTAAATCAAAAATTGAAGATTTTGCAAAAGGCAGTGATGAATTTGGAAATTAAATATGGAGAAATTTTTGATAAGAAA